TATTCTGTTGATCTTGTGCTGGGAACTACTAATTAACCTTTGTCACTCCTTTGAGATTTTGACGTTGGTCTTAGCAGAAGCTCTGCCCCCATGAGTAGAAATTGTAGGCCTTTAAAAGCACCCGTCTCAAAAGGAATTGACAACCTGTTTCATCACCTGTCTGGGTAAAGACTCTGGAGTTTCTGAAAAGTTTTGCTTCCTCATTTTGAAACCTTCATTACCTGAAAATAATTTTGGAGGATTTATTTTTCCTACTTGCTATCTTATAGATCACTTTCTCACAACTAAACTTTTCCTAAGACTGGAGTCTTATTTTAACTACTGAATCATGTTTGTGTTGACTGATACAGCATTGGGTTCTTAGTAAAATGATTTTACATTTAATGGATACCTCACGGATGGTGGTTTTTGTAAATCAGTGTTGCACATTCTCTCTGTCCTGTTTTCCTGTGGGTGGAGGATAATTGATTCCTTAGTTTAAAAGTAATTCCCGAGGTGAGCTTTTCCTGCTCTTGTGCATGGTTTTGTTTCACAGGTGTTGGTGACCATTTACTGGCTGGGAAAAGCAGCCAACAGCTGTGCATCGTATAGTGGAACGACACTGAACCTGAAGGAGTTCGAAGGCTTGCTGGCTCAGATGAGAAAGGTAACTTGGCTTTTCTTCTTTATCCCATGAGATTTTAGACAAGGTGGGTGAGCAACACATTCGCTTGTTTTTAAGATCATTACATTTCCTCGCGGTGGAATTGCTCAGGCCAATGTCATGCACTCAAGGAAATGACCAGTGGTACTTGTCTTACCAATGATGTCTTTGCCTCATGCATCCCACACTTACCTGAACTTTTGTATTTTATACCCTTCAGAGAATGGGAGATCTGAGTTCTATCCAAATTTAATTCCAAAAGAGCAAATTCAATCTGTCAGTATATGGTTTTGTATGCCAGAGAGCTCAGTGCTTGTTTTTGTGGAGGAATGATGCCTGAATTAAACAATGCAGTATTATACAAAAATGAAGACTTGCTCTGCACTTTTGTCCTAAAGGTCGTTTTGCTTACTCGTCGCCTTGGTGTGGGTGAGGTAACGTCAGCCAACTTCTTGCCTGGGTATCCACCCTGGACAGGCTGTGATAAATTAGAAGCATTCTCTTCTGAGATGTGCATCTTTTGGCCATTGTATCTGAATAACTTGGAAATTTGGAAAACATTTTTTATGACATTCAAAATGTTATTTGTTTATTGGATTATGAGAAAGACTGACCTAAAGTAGGAATTTGTCAAAGAAACCGTGGGGTGTTTTGTGTGTGCCTGCCTGTGTTCCTTTTTAAGGTTCAGCAATATAGAGTAACTCATCCAAAGTACTAGGATATAGTATTACCCAGGAGCAGCCCCACCTACCCAGCCTTTGTGAATAGGTGAGGCTCATTTGTAATCAGTAGCATCCATGGGTTTTAGATAAGGCCCATATTGTAGCACAAATAATTAAGGCCTTGCTCTTCCTCCTTTCCCTAACATGCAAACTCAGTGCACTAATGAAACTTCATTGAGAGACATTCCGTGCTGTACAGGTTTTCTTTTAATTCTGAAAGCAAGAATTTGCTCCAACTTTCTAATAACTTCTTCTCTCCTTAAATTAAAGCTAATGGGGGCCAGCCTGGTGGCATAGTGGTTAAGTTTGCATGCTCCACTTCAGTGGCCTGGGGTTCGCCGGTTCAGATCCTGGGCACAGACCTAGCACTGCTTGTCAAGCCATGCTGAGGTGGGCGTCCCACAGAGAAGAACTAGAAGGCCCTATAACTTGGATATACAACTATGTACTCAGGTTTTGGGGAGAAAAAAAAAGAGGAAGATGGGCAACGGATGTTAGCTCAGGACCAATCTTCATCACCAAAAAGAAATACCTTAAAAAAAAGACGAAATTACCAAAAAAAATAAAGCTAATAGTCCTTATAGTTCTTTACATTTGGCTAGAGCCAGTCTGGCTCACATATTTATAAATGGACAAAAGCTTTCATATTGGTCGTAAGGCATATAAACAAAGTCCTTTAAGCTAAATTCCTTTAAAAATAAACACACTCAAACACAACACATCATTTCTTAGTCTTAACTCTTATTTGTCCTTTAATTTTTCATCTAGCTCTGTTGGTAGAGAAAGTACAAAGGTAAGATTCAGTCTGGATTTGTGAAATTTAAATGTTTGTTTTTTTTACATTAACTTTGGACTTGAAATAATGATAGTTGGGTCATCTTTTTAAAACTATTTAAAAGCTCTGTCTCACAGTTGCACTGCTGGATTCTCTTGGAATCTGATTTATTCTCGTTATTGACATTTCTAGCCACTAGTCCAGCCCCTGTATAATCTGAACAGCTGTTTCTTCAACTCTCCTACCTTCCCTTTCTTTTGAGACGGTTAGTTATTTCATCTGCCTTGAAATGACCTGTTAACAGCTGTTACCCTTTTTAATGAATGTAGACAACGTCACAGAGCATGAGGGAGTAGTTGGTACCACTGGACAAAGCATGAAAATGGCCAGCTGTGGTACTCCCATATCTCTAAATAGAGAGTAGTTGACCTGAACTTCACAGGTCTATCCAACACCTGGAAATATGAATTTATCTAGAATATATATTCTTTCATTTTATCAATTACGATTGGGTTCAGCTGCGAAATGAAGGAAACTCTAACAGTGGCTTAAATAAGATAGGATTTTATTTAGAACTCACATAAATGAGGTCTGGATGTCAGCAGTCCAGAGCTAGTAGGGGCTGCTGATCATCAGGGACCCAGGCTCCTTCTCTCTTTTTGATCCACTATCCTCAATCCATGGCTTCTCATCTGCTGGTCCAAGATGGCTGTGGAAGCTTTAGCCGTCATGTCCACATCTGAGCCAGGAGAAAGGAGAGACGAGGGGAAGGAAGCCTGTACCCTCCTTTTAAACACACTCCTGGGAAGTCATACACTACACCTCTGCTCACATCCTATTGACCTAAACTTGGTCACACATCCATACCTAGTTGCAAGGAAAGACTTGGGAAAAGTAGGCTTTATGTCAGCTAAAAACTGGGTATTTTCACTGGAGAAGAAATGGAGAACAGATATTTAGGGGCAACTGGAATCTCTTGTGCACAGACACAGGCTGAAATAAATTTGAAATTAAAATTTTTTTTCACATAGGAGACTAGCCATAAATTTTTTGTATTTATTTTTGTAGTAGGAGAAATGTGCATAAAAATCATTAATTATGGTGCAACTTGTTAAATTCTGTAATACACGTAACACATGTAGAGGCCTTAGCATAAGCCTCTGGCACATAGTGGGTATTCATAGTAGGTTGCTGTTGCTATATACGAAAAAGGTCTCCCAAAGGAGGGACCCCAAGGCTGAACAAGGGGAATTACTATGAAAATATTGAGATTGAAGGGAGAACCCTGGGGACTAGGGAGGTCCTACAGACCTCAGGGACTGGAACTAGAAAGTCAACAGTCTAGGTTCTCCCTCTCCATGTCTTTCTCTCATCTCTTCCTATGTCTCCTTGAACTCATTCTCTCCTCCTATAGGCAAACATTCTCTCACATCAGGGAGTATGGCCAACAGCATCCCCAGGATTACCTGCTTCCAGGTCCTTGCCCAGAACGGCAAGGGAATTCTTCCCCCTGGCCCCAGCTGTAAAATTCTTAGACGTGTACTCTGGCCCAGTGTGAGTCCTATTCCTGAACTAGTCACTGTGACCGGGGGCAAGGGGTACCATGATTGGCCTAAGCCACTACTGTTTCAAGAGGTGAGGGGTGTTCACCAGAACCTGGGGATAAAGAGCAGAGAGCATGATGAGCAAGCACAGACCTCTCCCTAAAATAGCAACCGCCTTCAACTTCTTTTCCTTTAACCTGCATTATTTTTTCATGATACTTACCATCCAACTTTGTATTCATCTGCCTGTTTTTCTTTTTCTTTTTTGTTTTCCCTACTAGAACATAAGGCCCATGAGGACAGGGTATTTATTGATTTTGCAGAACTTTGTGTCCCCAGCACGAAGACAGTGCCTGACACATACAAGATCCTCAGTAAATATCTGTGGAATGAGTAGCTTCACCAACCAGAGTGTGGTGGGTGGAGATGGGTCACCAGGCTGGAAAAGTAGAACCCTAAAACACTCCAGGATTTAGCCACCTTATAAACCACAAAGGAATCATAAATTGTTGAGTGGAAAAGCAAAGGCATCTGGAGTTTCTCAGATACCATAAGTCATCCACCAACCCTGGCTGGTTCTCATTATCGCTGACAAAGGGGGATAAGAAGAGAACAGATGAAGGGAATAATCCGAAAGTGTTGTGGAAGCTGGTAGTTCTCTCCCCATTCGTTAACACGCTTTTACTAGAACAACTAGCAGTTAGCACAATGGACAGATTGAAATCTTATCTCCCTTCTCCAGAGTGCTCTCTGTAGAAGACAGAATGCTCCTGGGCTCCTAGATGAAAAGCATAGGCGACATCGCTAGACCACAAGAAAGGCGAATTTACACTGTGCTAGCCCTTGTGTTGCTTTATATATTCCACTCTTCCCCAAAAACTGCGCTTTAGTTGGTTTGATGGAATCCAGTACAGTTGTCCATCCAGCTGATGTCCACATCTTTATCTCTGGCTGGAGAACCAGCCTCTTGCTTCACCCCGAGTTTCCAAGGGATCAGCTTGGCCAAGGATGGCCATGGGTGGCTTGGTTTTCACTTTTCAAGCTAGCCATGCCATTCAGCTTCCAGCTTTCACTTGATCGAAGGTTTTATTCTTGGCTTTCTACGCAGTCATGAACAGAACAGGCTTTCTGTTTTTCTTTCCCATTACGAGCTGTGAGAAAGCAGCTGAGGTTCCAAGAAATGTGTTGACTTTCTCTTTCTTCCTTTCTGTTCTCCTGTGGTTTGTAGGGTGGGAGTCGGGGAGACATTTGGGCCTTTAGGGGAGCCTTTCTGATTTACTTTCTTGAAAATCCAGTTTTGTAATGCTGCGTCAAGCAGCTTGTGGAATTGTGTCATTTCTGGATGTGGCCACTGGCTCAGCTCCCTGAAAGTCTGCCCTCCTTCATGGGAAATTTGGCCCCGTCTAGATATGGGCTATACATGGAGAAGGAGGAGAGTATCAGTGTGTGTATAACTACTTCTATAAATTTTGCATGATTTATTTATTGACATTTACGTATCCAAATGAATACATAGTAATAATTACAACCATAGCTAACACTTTTTGAGCACTGATTATGGGGCAGGCATTTTTCTGAATGCTTTCCATATAGTAACATGTTTAATCCTTGCAGCAATCCTGTGAGAAAGATGTTATTATTAGCTCCATTTTACAGATAAGAAAACTGAGTTGAGCCAGGTAAAATAACTTGCCTAAAGTCCTACAGCTGACAAGGGGTGGAGCCAGGATTTAAATCCAGTCAGTTGAGCTTCCTAGACCATGCTCTTAACCCACCCTACACTGCCTCTTTTCTGCAGTATTTATAGTTTGGTGATCTAGGCATAAAAAGCATTTAGTGAAGGGACATTATCCAAGTTAGCATCATCCACAGAATAAGGAGGCAGTAAGTGTCCAGTAGTTAGAAGAGGTGATGATGCTGATGGTGGCAGCTGTAACTACACCAAAGTTGAGCAAACGTTGTTGGGTTTTACCATTTGGGATTTAGAGACAGTGTCTTGTGTTGGAACCACAGCTTTGCTGCTTACTGTGTGACCTCAGTCACGTTACTTAACCTCTCTGATTCTTTTCTGTAAAATGCAGACAATGCTAACCACATCATTGCAGGGAGATGGGTCTGTGAGGATTAAATAATACAATTTACAAAAAGCATCAAGCATAGCCTCAGACGTATAGTAAGTGTTCAATAAAAGTGACCTTTATTTTTTAGCCATTTGGCCTATTCTCAGTGCATAAATAATCCAAGATAATTACTTGCATTTCCAAAGAAATTAAAGATGAAACCACATCCAGATTAGATCTATACTTTTCAGTTAGTCCTGAGTTCTTCCTTTTCCAGCTAGTCAGGCCTGGCTTTTGTTCAAGTCCTGGTTAGCTTTTGACCTACAAGTAAGCTACCCTAATTTCCATAACTGGAATTTCCGCCTTCCTCTGGAGGGTCATGTCGGCCGGCCGGACTCACCCAGTCTATGTGACAGCCTTCAGGGGCACTAATCAGGACCTCTGTGTGGAGCCTGCGAGGAGCTCCTCTCAGCTCTGCCCTTCTCCTCTCTCCTGCTGCCTGCTCCTGATGCAAAAGCTGGGTGTACCTTGTGCATTACAGCTACCCCGTCCCCCCAGAGTGCCTCCCGCTGGGGAATGTGGCAGAGGATCTGGATATAATTGATAGAAGCAGCTGGCACAGGCACTTCCTACAAAGGCATTGGCTCCAGTGGGCGTGTTGGTCAATTTAGACAGTTTCCAAAATCCCTAACGTGGAGGATATTTATTTATTTTTCCTCTCTACTGGGAATGTGGAGAGGACCTTCCTGAGCATCCCAGGAAATCCACAGTGTGACATTCCAGTCTTTGCAGATGAGAACATGCCCCACTGACAATGCCATCCTCAGCCCTGATTTTAAGCGACAGTCTGGGCGAGATTAAATGGAGGTTTATCTTTGAGTGACCGGAGTTATTTTTGTTTTCGTCAGCTGGGACTATTGTAATTAATGCTAAGACATTGGCGGGAACAAGGCTTTTATTATAATTCGAGGGTGAGGATGGCTTTGACTGACCTTTCTCCTGCTGGAGTTTCAGTGTTTTAGTATGTGCTGCTTGCGCTGGAAAGAATTTATAATCACAGGCTGTCAAAGACAGCCATTGTTCTCACGGCTCTGAACATGTGGGTCAGCCACAAGTGCTTTCAGCTCCCCCAGCGCCAAGAGCTGGCCGAGAGCGAGAGCGAGAGCATGCCTGGATTCTTCTGAGGCATCAGGAAAAGCATTTTGCATATTTTTCATTGCCGTTTTTTTTTTTTTTTAACTTTTTGCTTCAGAAAGACAGCTTCCTTTCAGAGCAGACATTTCCCTTCAAGGTAGCAGGAGATGGAAGCATGCTCCTCCAGGATTTCACGGAACTGATTCTGCTGCAAAAACAAATGCTGTGTGCATTTGCCAGATAGCATACCCAGGAGCAGTCGCCGGCTGACCTAGGGGCTGGGTCCCACAAAAGACATGCAGTTATGGATTCCGAGAGACGGGTCAAGGTTACGGTCTTCGTTTCTGTTTTCATCTGTCATAGTATTCTTGTGAATCCAAACTTTGTGATCTTTATTCTTAATTCCTTTGATTTTTTTTTTTAAACATTGTGGAGGATGAGTTACTTGGGGAAAAAAAATTTTTTTTTTTAATGTGTGAGATTTTCTAATCAGGAAAGTTGCAAGAGGGAGGGTTAAAGAATGAAATGTTGACTCGCAGATGATAATCGTTGCCATAACCTTTCCATCCTGACGCTATGTGCAGGATTCTTTGGAGCCCCCTGGAGACTCCTGATCCTGGAGGCTCTACGTCTGTGGCTGTAATGTCTGTAATCCTTTCGTTTTATTTTTGGACAGGAGACGGATGACATTGAGAGTCCTAAACGTAGCATCCGAGACAGTGGCTACATTGATTGCTGGGACTCGGAGCGCAGCGACTCCCTCTCTCCCCCTCGGCACGGCAGAGATGATTCCTTCGACAGCCTGGACTCCTTCGGCTCACGTTCCCGGCAGACGCCTTCGCCAGATGTAGTCCTCAGGGGAAGCAGCGATGGTAGGTTGGAGCCTTTGTATAAACTGCACATCTTAGAATTAAATGGTAACAAGGGCTGCCTTGTCCCCTGCGGATGGATTGGCATGGGGAAGGCGGACTCCATGTCCACCTTGCTGGAAACTGTTAACTCTAAGGTGGTGGAAGGAAAGTCTCTTAGTGCTGTTTTTCCTGGTCCTTAGACTTTTGGTTGGCTTTGCCAAGAGTTTGTTTGAACATTGCCTCAGTGAGTGTATCTTCTATTGGAAAATGTGTTACATCATTCTTCCTCGGTCTCAGTGAATCAAGACACTGTGCAGACCATTAGCTCATGAAGTGTGTGGAAGGTTTATATACTCTGGGTAGGAGGAAGGGAAATATTTGAGTGAGTACCACACTGTATAAGTGAAAATGGATCAACTCCCAGCAAACTGGAAACGCACTACACATACTTATGAAAGTTCTGAAGCCTGGGATTGTGAAACTTTAATTGGCACGGTTTTGGCAAGCTGTTCGATGCTTATGATACCTGACCGTTGACTGGAGCGATGCAGGTGGCCATTAATGTATAGTACACAGCCCAGACTGCCTGTTTGTTCTGGGACTGGGTTTGATTTAAGTCCCATGGATTTTACATCACCTGTAAGGAATGATCATTTTTGTTTACAAAAGATGCAACTGATACAAATTTAATGTGTATTTTCCAGAAGCTGTATACCTTACTTATCTTGCACCTTTGTGCTTTTAGGAAGGGAAGATGGCTTGGTTCTGCATGTATAAACTTGCAGGAAGACTTGAAGTCTGGTGGGGAATTTTTTCTTGTTTTTTTTTAAGTAATGCTTGATTGATGCTAATATTTCTAGAGACTTAAGCCTACTGTCTGAGATGAAAATTATCTTGTAGCTAAATGATCCCTTTCAGCTATAAAATTCTGTTCCTAAATTACTGAGGTATTGGATGTGCCCAGGTCCTGAGTTAATTGCTAGACACCTAGCATCTCATTTAGTCCTAAGCGTAGATAAGGAGATACTTAGTATCTTCTTTTCTGTATTTTACAGGTGAACCTTAGAGAAGTTAAATAATTGACCTAACATTGTTAAATAACAGAAATCACCGTCAGCAAGTAGTGTAACAATGTTAGCCTCAGAAAGTGTGAGTCCAAAATTTACACTCTTAAGCTTAATTTACCCACATTTCTTTGTTTGTCTAATAGATTTTTTAAATTCTAGAATGACTAAACTCGTGCTTTTGTTTTGTACTTAAACATTCCAACCAATAGATTAGCCTCAGGGCCACATAATATGTGAGTCCTAAAGAATTCCATGGTGCATTGTGAGCTGCTTGAAAACATTTCTAAGATTTTATATGACATCTTAAGTACCACCCACAGAATTAGAAGTTACAATACCAAGTTCATGATCTCATTGAGCTTTAACTTGACCAGAAGGTAGATTTACTTTTACGAAACATATCTTAACCAAATTACTCCATCCATATTATTTTCATTATTTTTTAAAAATTATAATTTTCTTTATCCTGTGTTTTTAATAACTGGTAATGTAGGTCCTTTATTCTGTCACCAGCTTTGAGAGGTTCAGAGTTTTTAACAAGCCACATCTTGAAAGAATTTGAGATGGCGATTATTAGTATTGTACTAATATGTGCTGAGGCACAATTAAGTTTGCAGCAATTAAGATTGATAAGCTAGGGTCTTTTTATAAATGTTTTTTCCATCTAAAGACAAAATGAAATTGAGCCTCACAAAACATCATCCATGAAAGAGCATCTTAACACAGATTTCACCAATCAGCCTGATAGCTTCAGGCTTATGTTCTTGTAAACTAATCAAGACCTAATGAGGTTTTTAAAGAAAAACAACAATTTTTTTATCTACCTAAAAAAAGTAGTATAGTTTTATCCACATAGATGTTGAATTTCACTAGAGTTTATGGTATATTTTTTTAAATGATACTAATCAAGAAGATTGCTAGTCCTAGTAAACACTTTCAAATTTAGAAGAGCAATTTTTTAAAAAATCTTGAAAATTTATTTCCTAGGACTCACAATCAATTAGGAAAGTCTTGCCATGAAATTCTCCAGCTCTATATTGGGTCAGTATGGAGAGCTTTTGTTTTATTATTACTGAGGCCCACTGACTCTTCAATAGGGACAATCAAGAGCCACACTCAGGTGGTGTGATTCAGGGTTGGACAAAAGAGCTTCCTCCTGGTAGGGATGCTGTGGGTCCCCAGGATTAATTCAGCCTATCTGTCTTGCTAGATAGGTGGCAATTCCTCAGCTTTATTAACATTCCTTCTGAGGCCACTTAATGGGCTTCATTGAAGAGGAAATACAGACCTTCCACTCAGTTGCTTTTAAAATTACAAACGTATTTTATTGATATGATGCATTTTGTTAAATGAATATTCTTACCTTTTATATAAAAGATGAGTTAAGGGAGAGAAATAAGGAATGAGAGAAATTAAAGTGCTAGAGGAAGATGAAAAACCAAAGGGTTGGGGATGTGTATGGCAAAGACACGTAAAAAAAGAAAGACTTGCTGGAAAGGAGAGGACTGTAGCCCCGTGGAAAGAAAGGATCAGACTCCGATCAAATAATGCCATCACTGTCATGTGCTATGTTGCAGTTTCCTAACTTTGGGCATAAATAGAGAAGCCACCCTCGTATATGTCCATGTTTTCAGGATGAAGTAAAGTCAGAATCTTGTGAAGTGTCAGCCTTAGATCAGAAGAGCTCTACCATTTACTGAAGGTACACCATTCCAGCCACTTCCTAGGTGCTTTATGCCGTCTCATTTAATCCTCAACAAGCTATGAGAGCTGGATTATCAGCTTCATGTCTCTGATGAGGACTTAAGAGTTTGGGGTACAGAGGGTTTAAATTTCCCAGAGTCACATAGCTGGTGTGTGAAATTAGACCCTGATCTCTGAGTCCAGAAAGCTACCCTTCTTTCAACTGAGCCACTCTGCCTTGGGGCGTTTGCAAATTAACTTTTTCTGAAGTATCTGTTGAAGGTATTCATCAAAGAGTAATGGGGGGGGGGGGGTGGTGGTGATCTGTTTATGTGTTCAACAACATATTTTGAGACTTTCATTCAGTATATTATAGACAATATATTTTTAGATATTGTACACAAAGTTCATAAATTATAGGATTGTTAGAATTGAGACAACTGTAACCCACGACTAAGCCTTCATGGTTGATTGAAGAATCGGTTTTCTTTCTTTTGTTTATTCAGTAAAGTGCAGTGCTTCCCCTAGTCAGGATGCTTTAAGCAGACGACGTTTTTCCAGAAGTGTGTTGCAGAGGAAGGAACAGTGGGCTGGGAGTCTGGAGAACAGAACTTGGAGGCCCAGAGTTGTTATCAACCAGCCATGGAGAATGGGCTCTTTCAGCCTTCTGAGCCCCTGTTTCCACCTTCGTGAAACAGGGATAATGTGAAATAGGGAAACAAACTAAGAGCTTGGCAGGGTAAGGTAGGGTTAGCATTTGTTTATAAAGCCATTCACAGGGGGCTCTAAACATTTTTTATGACACTGAGACAGATCCTTGATAAAAGACTTGGGGTGGGAAGGGACCTAAGTTATGAATTAATAACTAACCAGTAATGAAATGGTCAAAACTTCAGAAGGGAGATTGAAAAAAAGTGACATAAATTATTCATAAACTGAATATTTCATCTGCAACAATGAACAACTTGTTTATGGTCAATGCTTTTAACTTTTATAGTCTTTTTAAAGCCATTAAATCATTTCATCTCCAGGGTAAATCATTCCCATTTTTCAGAAAAGGACAGTCAAATGGGTTAGAGAAAAGCCTAGGAGCCCACAGCTCATTATTGACAGATCCCAGAACTAAAATGACGTAAAGAGTAGTCAGCATTTATTAGTCACTTACTCTGTACCAAGTACTGTACCAGTAGTTTACATACATCTGATCCTCCCCATGGCCCTTTGAGTAGGTGTTATTATTATGATCATTTTACAGTTTGGAAAACTGAGGCATAATGTGGTGAAATAACAAATGCAGTCTCATAGCTAGTAAGTGGCAGAGCTCAAAATGAAGTGGATCTGACTTAACACCTGTACTCTGCCCTCTCTGTGAGGCTGCCACCTCTCTTGACTCTTACTTTAAGGCTCTTTTCATAAGTGTAAATAGGTAATTTTCTCCTTGCTATTATGGGAGTTGAATAAGCTCACAATTCGCTCTCATTCTTTAAGAGTTTTCAACCAACTTCAAATGGAAGCTACCTGTAATGATAGTGTTTGTTTTAATGACAGCTTCACTCTATAGATCTTATCTAGTGAGATGAGACTCAGGAAACAAGGAGGCAATATAATTGCTGGGGCTATTGCCTAACAAAAGACTGATGCTGGCAACATTGAATTCCTTTGTGATGTCTAAAACACTGTTTAAGCCAAACCAATTCATTTATTCATCAGATAATTTGAGGATGCCCATGTGTACAAAGACACTGTGATGGATACTGAGAATGATATAAAGCCCTTGTTCTCAAAATACAAGGTAGAAAGTATAATGAGTCAGAAGCAAAGACTAGATGGGGCCACAGGGTTCCCAGGAAGAAAAGATTGCTTCTAGCAATAGATACCAGGAAGAACTCCAATATAGAGGAATATGCAGTTATTATAACTCAAACCACTTCCTGAAAGGCAAACCCTTGGTATAATCCAAATTGGCCACTTTCCTGAATTCCTATTATTCTTATATATCTGTGCTCCTTGATTGTAACTAATATCCTCCAAATGTTTCACGGATTGGTTAAAGGTACCTCAAAGACAGAATCCTTTATAATTCTTATTTGTCAGAATATCTAACACAGTGCTAGACATGCAACAGCAGGTGCTCAGTAAAAACTCCGTTGATTTGGGGCCAGCCGGGGGCGTAGTGGTTTAATTTGGCATGCTCCACTTTGGTGGCCTGGGTTCGCATGTTTGGATCCTGGGTACGGACCGACACCACTCATCAAGCCATGCTGTGGCAGCCACTCACATACAAAATAGAGGAAGATTGGCATGGACGTTAGCTCAGTGCCAATCTTCCTCAAGCAAAAAGAGGAATATTGGCAATGGGTGTTAGCTCAGGGCTAATTTTCCTCACAAAACAAAAACAAAAACAAAAAAAACCTCCATTGATTAATTTGTGTTTTTTCTTTTAGAGTTGCAGAATCTCAGCAGGCATATAGGGCTGTTGCAAATGTGTTGCTAGTTGTAATTCTCAGATATAGATAGGCTTAAAAATAAAGGAGATTTTTTTAATTTGACGTGTTTTTTTTTCCTCATTAGAGTTGAGACTTTTTCCCAGAGTAGACTAATTTAGACTGATACTTTGGATTTGCTAAGTGAATAATTTAAGGAAGAAATCCCCAGAACCTACAGATTTAACCACATCTCTAGTATTGCATACTTGCCATCAGGAACTTTGCTGCTAGCCCAGCGCACATTTTCACCGCTCATCCTCTCTTCCCCAGGGAGAGGAAGTGACTCTGAATCTGACTTGCCACATCGGAAGTTGCCAGATGTGAAGAAGGATGACATGTCTGCGAGGCGGACTTCCCATGGTGAGCCGAAATCAGCCGTGCCTTTTAACCAGTACCTCCCGAACAAAAGCAATCAGACGGCATATGTCCCCGCTCCTCTGAGAAAGAAGAAAGCAGAGCGAGAGGAATATCGGAAGAGCTGGAGTACCGCCACCTCCCCCCTGGGTGGGGAGAGGCCTTTCAGGTAAGGCCTGAGCTACACTGCTCCCGCCCTGGCTTGAGTGCAGGTGGTACAGGAATGACAGTTCCTGGACACCAGTGAACTCAAATGGCCATTTCAGAACCTTGATGTAAGATGACAAATGGAGGTGGGCAGGACAGGTGTTTAGAGAGATTGTGATGATAGAATACAAGCATCATAAGGGTACCTAGAATAGGGCCTGGCACACAACACAGTAGGCATTCAACAAATACTTGTCTAATGAGCAGATTTTTGAAACCAGCTCTATTGACAGGACATTGAGAACAGATCTGTCAGCCCTATCCTTCTGTGGAGACTGCCTGACTCCCACTCCTGTTAGATTAGGTGCAGAAAGATTTATCTTTATGCAAAAAGACTTAATCTAGATAAATGCTTATCTAGATATAACCTGTAGTATGTAAGGGATGCATGGAACATGCTTCAGAATCACATGTAGAAACTCATAATAAATGGAAGATACATTGGGCTGCTCATCTCTTTAGAGAAACAAGCAGTGTTTTCCCTAATCTCTGATTGTGTTTTTGTATTTATTCTTTGGTTAGTCAAGAAGTATTTATTGAGCATCTACTACATGCTAAGTGCTATCTTTTAGGCATTATTGACCCAATAGTAAATAAGATAGAGTCCCTGCCTTCAAGAACTTTATAGTCCAATAAAAGAAACTTACAAACTAGTCTAATCCTTTCAGCAAAACCACTCTGATCATTGCATGGTTATTTCTCATAGTCCACATTTATTATCTGTGATTTTCCATTGAATAAACATTTGATTAAAAGTTTTAGTTACTGAACAAAACAAATTTTACCTTTCCAGCAGAAATCGTTTTTGAAATAGCTCTTAGTCAATGTTGAGATTATGATGCATTGTATTAATTAACAAATGGCTACGTTTAATTTTCTTCACATTACCAGGATCATATTGCATGCTATGACTTTTTTTAAGTGGAAAGTAATATCAGAATGACCAGGAGACGACATGTGGTCTGCTCCCCAGCCCAGTCTGTTAGTTTGGTAAACCATATTGTCCAACTCACTAGCTATCCTGAAACAATAGAGGAAGAGGGAAGTGAAGTGGGGTCTTGTGAAGAGAACCCCGTCGTCCAGATGGATCCTGGTGGGAAGTCTTCTGATGGTGGGTTAGAGTTACCCACTAGCAGTGGTAAGGAGCAGCCTTCTCCAGAGGCGGCGGTGGTGGCACCAGCTCCCAAGTCTGAAGAAAAAGATGCTGCTGAGATCCAAAAGCGCAGAAGGCTAGAGCAAGCTGGAATCAAGGTCATGCCAGCAGCACAGCGCTTTGCCAGGTTAGCTCTGCAGGCTGAGGCTGGCCGGGCTGGCTTTGTGCATGCCTGGGGAGTCGGAGTCTGTCTGGCGTGTTGGACTTTCCATCTTGTTTTCCCACTTCATGCTTTTCCTGTTGCATCACTATTCCCCACTCAGAGCAAATAGAAATAACTGGTAGTCTTTGCCCTAGGGCCGGCCTGTCTCTGCTAAATACTTGGTTATTTGAAATGGAGGTGGAGAGTGAGCTTATTGCTGCTTGATTAGACCTTATCCTAGTCAAGTATTTGTGGTCAGTCATTTGTGGGCTGTGAGATTTACCTAGCAATAACATCTTGTTTTTCGATTGTTTGTGGCTTGTTATTTTTCACACTATTCCTAAATGGCTCTTATCTTACTTTACACATCACTAAGAAAATAGTTCCTTTGAAACAGGGAACACTCCCTTTGGAGAGTGGCTCGTTTACAAAAGTCCACATACTTTCTTTGTCCTAAGGAAGTCGTAAGAAAGACTGGGTTTATATGGCTCATTTTCTAAACCATACTGATTCAAAAACAAAGAATGGAGTAATTACTTCTCTTAATTGTAACAAAGGCACTAGTATTCACTCCTGATGGCTTCATATTCTATGTGAGATGGAGACCTTCAGCCCTCAGAGTCACAGAAAACTATAGTTCTACAGTTTTATGTAGTGTTTTGAGAAGCTGGTTAAGTTTTCTCATCTAATAACCACCAAGGTGCTAACAAATAATAGTGGGACCAAAATTTATTTGACAAGTTGAAATTCTTAACAATTTGACAATTGAAATTCCTTTACCACTTACTGTTCCATTTAATCCTACGAGGTAGGTGACGTGCCCATTTTCAAGAAGAGTACACGGGGGCTCAGTGATAGTGACTTGCTGGTCTCACAGCTGGTTACCACTGCCCTGGTGGTCAGATTTAGATGTTCTGACCACAGCACCACATTTGTCTCCCTCACACTTAATGGAACTTTTCCATTTCTCTGTACAACTTTGTATGTGGTTATTTCTGTGGTCTAGGTCTTAACTGAAAGTTCCAGCATTGATGAATATGGATTTAATCTTAGAATAGTTTTATATTGATAAAAAAAAACACGTGTATACTTCTTCCTGCCTGTGGTGTTCCACAGATAAGTATGTCTATCATAAACATGTATGTGCTTCTAGAAAACTCTAACATAAAATCGTGTTTGTGTTACAAGCAGCTCTCTGGGTTTCTGAAGTAATGAAGAGTATTGTCATAGAATCTTAAAAACAAAAACAAATTTAGATATTCTTTAAATTTTGGTTCAGAGACCTTGTCAGATACATACATTTTCAATATCATTTGAGCATCTATTTGTGTCAGAGACCAGGCTAGATGCTAAGAATACAAAAATGAATAATATCCCCTTACCATGTACCATTTTTCAGACATTTCCTGTTTCTGTCTTCAAGTCTAGGGCACAGTGGGAGTAGGAAATAAGTGACACAGGTCAGAGTATGAATTTACAAAAATTTTAATCTTAATATCCTTGACACACGTACTTTCATTTTTATTACATCTGTCATGTCTTTAAGCTAAAATTTACCAAAGACGCCATCATCTTTGTTTTTTCCTGTTTTTATTATCACTTTCAAAAATTGCCAGTCTATTTAGTTAAAAAAAAGATCTCATTTAAAAAAATTGATTTCTCTGGGCTGGCCCCATGGTACAGCGGTTACATTCGCACATTCTACTTCTCGGCGGCCTGGGGTTCACTGGTTCGGATCCCAGGTGCAGACATGGCACCGCTTGGCAAAAGCCATGTTGTGGTAGGTGTCCCACGTATAAAATAGAGGAAGATGGACATGGTTGTTAGCTCAGGGCCAGTCTTCCTCAGCAAAAAGAGAAAGATTGGCAGTAGTTAGCTCAGGGCTAATCTTCCTCAAAAAAAAAAAATTTGATTTCTCCATGATTGCTAATATGGTTGAATATTGTGTCATGTGTATTGACTACTCGGGTTTCCTCTTCTGTAAATTGCCTCATATCCTTTGCCATTTATTTTTCCTTTTTTAAAAAAATTTTATGGTGGTAAGAACACAGCATGAGATCTACACTGAACAAATTTTTAACTGTGGAACACAGTGCTGTTAACTGTAGATACAATGTTGTACGCTAGATCTCTAGAATTTATTCATCCTGCTTAACTGAAACTTTATGCCAGTTGATTAGCAACTCCCCATTTACCCTCCCCTAGCCCCTGGCGACTACCATTCCATTGTTTGATTCTATGTATATGACTCTTACATACTTTGTGTAAGTAGAATTATGCAGTATTTTCTCTTCTGTGACTAGCTTGTTTCACTTAACATAGTGTCCTTAAAGTTCACCCATGTTGTCACATATTGCAGAATTCCCTTGTTTTTAAAGCTGAATAATATTCCATTATATGTATGTACCACATTTTCTTTATTCATTCATCCATTGATGAACATTTGAATTGTTTCCACATTTTGGCTGTTGTGAATAGTACCACAATGAACATGGGCATGCTAATATCTCTTCAGGATCCTGACTTCAAGTCTTTGGTTAAATATCCAGAAATGGGATTTCTGGAACATATAGTAGTTCTATTTTTAATTTTTTGAAGAATTGCCATATCATCTTTAGAGTACCCAAAAGAGCTAGGGGAGACGAGTAGGGAGCTACATTAAGGTAATTCAGCACACCCACGAATCATGATGATGCAGGAAAAAGAAGAGATTGGGCAAAGGCTGGGAATTACTGTGAGTGTACTGTGCCACGTCAGTAACTGGGAAGTTTATTTTGTAAAAAACATTGAAATCTTTTATGACGACTCCCATTCTGTGGACAAACATAGAATCATGGTTAGTTTGCAACTGTAATTCTGAGTGATGAGTATTTATGTAGTACTTTTTGCTCCTGTCCACGTTTCTTCTTATCTGGCTTAATTTTTATATATTTCATCCAAGTTAGCTCTATTAAGCAGAAATTCACAGGTTAGTTAATGTCATCACACTTTAGATCTTGTGAATCTGTATTTAAAATTGGGTTCAGGGAAATTATGCATATTCCCAGAGATTGTCCCAGTAGCAACGTGACACAGCGGCTCCAAACACCCAGAATTAATTTGTTGGACAGATTTTTTTCAGCTGCTAGCTCTCTCATAAAGGTTTTATACATTCCATACCACCAGCCTGGTATGTCTGTGTCTTTGTCACTTACTTTTTTGCAGCCCACAACAGAGTTGAGAGTCATTCTAAGTTTATCCACATTTGGGATCCTGCTTTGAATGTGGCAGAGAGTAGCTTAACTAGAATGAAATGTATATCATAAAAAAAGAAAAGGATTATTGGTGCCTAGAAAATAAGAACATAAAGCATTTGAATATGCTGATGTCTTGTAAAGGATTGCAACCTCAGTCTCCTGTCTTTGCCATCCAGGGGAATTCTGGCCCCGACATCTCTGAACCCAACATGATGCCCAAGATACTTCCTGTGGCCCATTTCTTAACTGGAAAAGTCTGTGTTTGTAGAGATGGGTGAGAGTATAGAATCATCGATGAGGGAAGAAGGCATATAGATGTAGAACAAGGTTGTACTTTTGTAGACTGTGTTTTTTTGCTGTTTCCCAAGTATTCTCAAACACCTCCATGTATTATTTTTAATACAATATATAAAAAGGAGGAAAGGCGCATGTTATTTCATTTTCACATGAGTTTTAGAAGGCTAGAAATCCCAAGCTTCCTGTCAAGCAATATATTAGGAGGTATCTTAGCGTCAAGGGACAGAAAGTAGAACTTCTTAATAAATGTGTGGAGTTTAATATTTATTAGAGTTGCCATTGAAGTAAAACATATATAAACTACTTTTTCTTCTATTTTAGTTTATGATTGTTAGCTTAATTACTGAAAAATATGAAATCCTGCCAAAGAAGCCAAGATTTCTGTTTTTAAGAGGATAAAATAAGAACTAAGATTCACTTCCCCTGAATTAAAATGCCATGGAGATTTGAGTTCTCTGCCTTGGTGTTTCCCATTGGGGAAGTAAACTTTTTTTTGAGCTGAATTATAGGTTTCACGTGATTGGACTTCTTTGCTAATTGTTTTCATATGTTTCAGCACTCAGTCTTTTCTGCTAGTCTGTGGATCTTCTCAGCCACATAGTAATTAATTACAGAGGGAAAAAAAGCTCCAAGGAACAATAGACATTTTAGAAACCTTTAGAGGAAGAGCAGATGCAGCTAAGTGCCAGACACATCTTCCTCTACCTCTCTCCTTACCAGATGCCTGAGTTACGGATCGTTGCTGAACAGATTCTTGGGGATCAGGGACCGGGCAGACACATAACTTGCGTGAACCTTTGTGACTCTGGATGTAGCTGCCCTGTTGGACACTGGGTGAAGAAGGGGGATTCTGGGGTTGCCCATGACATTCCCAGGAGGCCTAACAGGCTTTTCGGGAGAGCCCAGTTTCTTTCAATAGAACAAACTGGCTGCCAGTCTGAGCTGGTTCTTTGTGTGTTGCCAAGTAAAAGGAGGTGAAGGAAAATGCTGGCTCTTTCTTAGTTTAAGTCATCATCTCATTCACTTTGAAATATATAAGCCTTGGAAACTTTGAGAAGAGCTTTTTCTTCCCCCTCACCTTCTTCGAGCCCATAATCTCTCCTATAAAGATAGCCTGACTTGTTTTAGATGAGGCTGGACAGGGTTGCCAGGTTGGAGGCCAGACTTGGTATTTCTCGTTTCCTACTGGACTGTCTTCCTTCTAAGTGAAGGAAGCTGTGCCCACAGACTACCTTCTTCTCAAAGCAACTTATCTGTGAATGACTTGGAAAAAACAAACATGCCGAACCTCCCCGTGAACATCAAGCCAAACAGCTGGGTCTACCCCTGAAATTTACTTACTTTACCTAAGTTGAGGTGACTGGAACTAGAAACCTCAACATTCTCCTCTGCAAAGTGGGCATCATAATTCCTATCTTGCAGGGTTGTCATGAAGGTTAGTGTATCTGGAATGTACTAGCTGCTGAGAGTTGTAATTATCGAAAACTAAAATAGAATATGCTGAAGCTTCACATAGACTGCCCTTAAAAGAGAAAAAGAAGAGTACATTATAAAAGGTCACTTAAATATTTTGGTAACTAGATACCTGTGAACACAATCCTACTCTTCTGCCTCATACATATATTTACTACTTCATAGCCAACAGTACCAGCCCAGAATTTGTGTCATTATTTTTTTTCTTTCTCTGAGTCTGCCTTGATGCTCTGAATTTACGGGATTCAAGCAATTAGTGGAAAATCAGTCACTGTGACTGGTTTTCAAGTGGGTGGAGTGTGGCTTTAAGTGGCCAATGATACGGAAAGCTTTATTCACCCCCTTTTTCTTAAGTCCACATATCGAAACTGAGATCACTTGAAAGAGTCCTGCCACACTGGGCATTTAGCCTAGAAAGAAACACCCCAGGGAATTTGTAGCCTGGCTGTGCTCTCACATCATGCATCAGGCAGTGGATTCTCCTGACACAAATTGACATCACAAATTGGCATGGCCATTTGCATAAATGCATCTGTTTTTTTCCAAAGAATTTTGCCTGAGTTGGAGGAGATTGAAACCCAGGACCCCTGGTCAAAAAAATGGAAAGAGTGCAGCCCTTGGGCTCAAGAAGTTCTAGCTAGGAGTCTGCTCCCGTACTGGAATTGTAGTTGGATCAGCTGAGATGAGATAATGAATTTGAAAGGGCCTTTGTAAACTGTAAAGTGCTGTGCAAGCATTGTAGGGTAAGATTAGTTAGCATTCTGCTGTCATTAATCCTGGCTGAGCATTGCCTCTGTAACCAACAGTGCGAACCACAACTCCATTCTAAGCACAACTCACAGGATCTCTTTATTTAGTAACCAAAATACTTCTCTTTCTCCTACTTCTGTAGTAACAATAATGCCTTATTTTTTGCATGATGCTCTGCTTTCAAAACTGTTCCTGGCCTTGTCCTTTGTTTAATGAATAGCACAGTGGTTAAGAACAGGACCTCTGGAGCCAGACTGCCTGGGTTTGAATTTTGACTTAAGTAGTGGCGCTTTGACCTTGGGCAAATTTCTTAATGTAATCTCAGTTTCCACTCTGCAAAATGGGAATGCTAAAAACACTAACATTGCAGGGTTCTTATTAGAGTTAAATGAATGAACACTAGAAGGAATTCTAGCACATAGTGTGCTCACAATAATCATTAGCCACCTTCATTGTTATCATCAGTGTGCTTTTTAAACAATGCCTTTTTGAAGAGATTAACTCAGTGGCCTGTCATTTCCCATTGACCATTCTTTATAGCCAGAGTCAACCAACGCCAGTTGGTACTTGCCAGACCCGTTGGCTAAGAAGGCAGGGAGGAGAGCGAGCCTCGTCCAGGAGTGGCCAGACAGGAGACTGAGAGTTAAGTGTGCAACTCAAAGAGCAGGATTTCATATTTTAAGAAATAAATTTATTTAGGGAGCAAAGCACCAACAACAACCTTTAAATTCTATGTTTTACAATTTTATTGAGAACAATGGTTAGCAGTGAGAAGGAGTTTACTGGGCATGACTAATGGTGATTTGATTTTCCAAAGTCAGATGGAGTGAGAGCCTATTGTAGTCTTAAATGGCCTCCTCTGCAGCGGTGTGAGGCGGAGCAACAGTGGGCCATCCGGTCAACCACAGTACAGAGTTTCATTGCTCATTTTACTCTTAGCCAGGCTAATTCTTCCTGTCTTCGTTTCTGAGATGAGTCGTCCTTTGATGATGAAGAATTTGCTCTTAATCCTCTCAGAAGTCCGATACAAAGTAGGTCAACTTTCTTTAGAAGTCAAGATATTTTATTTACTTATCCTCTTTATGAACTGAGAAGATAATAAATGATTTAAAAAAATGTTTTAACACTTTATTATTACTTAGAAGCAAGGCTGATCTTATGACTGGGAGGGGGGAGGAGTTTGTTTGAATATCAGATAGGCACAGTCAATGGTCTTCCCACCCCCAACCCCCCCAACAAAGACAAAAAACAAACAAAGCAAAAAAAGTCCTGATATTCCTCCATTAAACTGCATTCCTCTAGAAATTTAAGGTTTAGGGCCTTCAAGATCTCTGAAGATGGAAATAGCCCAAAGTAATAATTTTTAAGCCATTTTGGCAAAATGTCTTACCACAATTTACTTGATATCTAGCATATAACAAAGAAAAAGAGCTGGGAGGTAGAGAGTCATGGGGGCGGAAGATGGAAGAAAGGGTTACTGATGGGAGGGTGCAGGGCAAGATAAGCTTTTATGCCTCAGGTCCATCCTGTGCATGGTCATAAACTATTCCAGATGTTTCAGGTTAGCTCAGCTCTGCAGAAACACCTTCCTTACACTTTGCAATCTAGTACATATTCTAGGTGTGCTGTCACCCAGCTGCATTCATTAGCTTTCCCTCAGGTCAGTTTCTTGGTGGCTCAAATTTTTGCCCTGTCCGTCAAAAACAAATTGAGGACCTATTGGGTGCATTGCTAATGTGCTAGAGAAAAAACAACAACAATAAAAAGCTGCCTACTTTTCCCAATTTCATGAAAAGAATGTGGATTGTCACTTTCAGAGCCATTTAGGATCCTGCCTTTCGGATACTGATGGAGCCCTGTAAATTAAATGAGTTTTTAGTATTGCTAGTAGCTGGCTAAATTCAAGGTTTTGAAACCTGCCCTAACTATGGTGCAACTCTGGACTAAAATAGTAAACAGATGTCATCTGAACTAATGATATTGAGAAGACATTTCACTAACAACGCAGTTGTCTGTCTGGAGATGGGGATTTGAAATTTCTTTGGTCTGATCACATGTAGAGTTCCATTTAATTTTGCTCTGTCAGTCAAAAGCAATTAAGTGATGAGAAAGAAGCCGTTCGCGATATTATCCTTCGCAAAGAAAACCCTTTCCTGACCCACCAACACGGCAAAGATTCGGAGTCAGAAGATGAAGCTGCACGTCGACTGCCTGATCTTGAGAAAGATGACTTTGCTGCAAGAAGAGCAAGGATGAACCAGACCAAGCCAATGGTGCCACTGAATCAACTCCTCTATGGGCCCTACCCAAAAAAAGAGGTGAAGAAATCAGATGGCAGCAGACAACTCTCAAAGGGAACCTCAGAAAAGAAAAGTCTAGAATATAAAAGGTCTGCACGGTGTGTATGTGTGTGTGTATGTATGAAAGAGAGCGAGAGAAAACATAATTAAGCAAAGGTGATTTGTATCATAGCCCCTTGTTCCTCTCTTTCCTGCCCCAATTACATAAATTGCTAATGGTGGTTTATTTTGAAGTAGAACTCCAGCTATCCAATCTACCCTAAGTGCAGATGGCAGAGAGTAGAATGGCCATATTCAAAATAGGGCTGAATTTGCCAAATAAATATTGAGCTCCTGTGTGCAGATGTGCTGTCTCTGGGCACATCACCACAGATGGGTGCTGCTGTCATAGATTGGCATTATTGGCACAAACAGATGTGTACCATTGCCTTTCAGGGAACAGTCACCTCTCAAGGCCTCCCCAGTCCATTAATAGGAGGCAGAAATCATAGTTATTCCTTAGCTATAAATATAAACTCTTCTCTCTTCTTAGCTCCTTTTAGATATTGGAGAGGAAAAAAATGAGGCTTGCTCTTTCTTCTCTCACACCAGCAAGATCACCTAGACATTTAATGATAGATATTTCTCATGAAAAAAACTTCTCAAACATATAAAATATAATATACTTCTATTTGTTCTATCATGGAAATTGTTTTTAAATGAGTTTCCTTCTCCCAACTTCTCTCCCATCCTGTTAATTTGGGAAAGGAAAATTGTAGTGAAATGGGATTAGCCAATGATTTTTATCCTAAGAGGGATATGATTTCATTTAAGCTGTCAGCTTACTAAATTTCATTGTGCAGGGTTCCTCATTCTTGTATTTTTTCCATGTATCAGAATCAGTTAGAGTTCACATCTTGATTATTTAATTGTCATCTTTTTGCCTATTGCCTGAGAGGCTTGTAAGCCTGTTGAACTGAGAATATAAATATCTCAGCTATGTTTTACACAATTAAAATAGTTTTTTGGGTAGTTTTCATTGAACTCAGTGGAATAGTTAGTGTGTAGTTTTGGTTTTATTTTTTCTTTTTTATGAAGTACCAGATACAAAACACATGAAAGATCCCCGGATGTAGAACAGGGATCAGAGCACAGAAGACCTGGCACAACTTTTTTATAGGACACATTATAGCTTCAGGAGGCTCATTCTTGGAGGGCCTGTGGGATCAGTTGTTGCAAGTGAAACAAAGACTTCTGGATAACTGACCAGCATCAAGGCATATTGATGGGGACCAGCAACTTGAGTTAGGAAAAGGAGTAGCTTTTGTATCTCTTTTTTTCCTTTCTCCTCCATGCAATTTTAATTCCTGATATTTCCAGCTTATTTGTCTGTAATCACCTGACTCTGTGTTTAGGAACACAGCTCTGGGTCTGGGACAGCCCATGACCTCTTTAGGCAAAGAACTGATGGAAAAAAGAAGGATCCCTCATGGCTCTTTGCAATGCTCTTCCTTGTTCCTCTTCCCCAAACTAAAAGCCAATAGAAGATTCTGTAGCCTTCCTATTTGCATAGGCTCTGCAAATACACCAAGTCATCCATGTAACAAAAGAATACTTCTTGGTTTTCTGGCTTGGATGATATATTTTGAAAAAAATAAATAGCCCTATTTGTGTATATTTTGAGATTTTCTATCTCAAGAAGCATATTTAGTTAGAAATTGACTTTTAATGTGATAGAATGTTTATGCATATAAATGCCACAGCTTTGGTTTAAATTACAGTATTGTCAACATTAGCCATCTAACATTCACATCTTAGGAGAGCAATTGAAAATATCAGTTTTAGCATCAGTAAAAGCCAACAGTTATTAACACAAGAAACAAATGGGTGTTGACTCTGTGGACCCCGGTAAAGAGGATACGTTGTGTTTATTCTTCAGGTTTATATTAGCCAAACCTAACTCATGCTGTCAGGAAGCAGAGACTGAGTTTGAACATTGAAACTTTCTTGTCACAGTTGACTTAAATGTACTTTCTGATCATGCAGGGGTTTGTGGTTGAAATGTTTAATATGTGAACAACGTTCCAGCTATCTCCAAACTAATCCTAGAATTTGGATCATGCCAAGCTCGTTACTAACATTTTACTGGTGCAGTAAAAGACATTCCAAGAGGGCTCAGGGATTCAATCAGAAAACTTGAATTCATTATAGTAACCTGAATAGTGTGGGAATTGGGCATCATTATTGTCAAACCGAAATCTCATTACCATTCTTAACAGTCTTTCAGCGAGCCCTGGCTTCTCTTCCTAAACTAAACTAGAGACTATCATCTGGTGGAAAAACTCCATCTCATTACAGTGTCAAAAGGGCAGAATAGACGAAAGTAATTGAGGCTCCAATTGATTCCATATTTTTGAGAAAGGCAAAGGTGCTTCCATCATATTGTTCTGTGCTCAGCCTCTCAATTTCCATGCTTGACATTCTATTTGTCTGCTCTCCTTCCTTGAACCTGATTTTTCGATGATTTGGGGCCTGGATCAAATTGACAGAAGTCAGGGCCAAACAGAAGAGGTGAAGTCGATGGTGACCTGTATTATGCGGGCTCAGGAGAGTGAACCTGCGGAAGAGGGACTCAGGAAGGTGCCAGATCTTTACAAGGATGACCTGGCGCAGCGGAGAATTCAGGGCAGCCTTGCCCCTCACCGTGAGGCCCCGAGCTTTGTCACAGTCTCCAAAATAACAGAAGCCGACTTGGAGACGTGGGAGAGACTGAAAGTGTCAGGAAAGACGAGGTGTGTCATATTTTCCCTTGGCAGTGGTATTATTTAACTTTGAAGGAATCAAATGCTTATCCTTCTATCATTTTTTTATTTTCATGGCCAGAAAAAATGCATCTCAAAACACAGAGCATAGTTTTCATAATTTGAAACATTAATACTAAAACTTTAAGCCACTTGGATGGAAAGCATCCTTTTTAATTCAACCTGCTTATTATGAATGGTTATTTTCATAGGCTTGTTTACTGTAAGGAATTTAAACTTGATTTTTTAAATAATTTGAATTATTTTGTTGTACCTAAGATTTTCTTATGCCATCATTTATGGTATTAGAAGTGATGTTTGAAAAGCTATAGAAGACTAAAGCACTGTTTATCTAGGCAAGGCAATGATCATTTCTTCATTTGATTGATTAATGGAAAAGCACTTCTTATTGATGTGTACTTGCCTTAGAAACCTTTGGAACTTATTTCTGGTTCTGATTAGGGATGGAGGTTTTGAGCACATCTGTGCCCCTGAACCTTCACCAGAAATTAAAGCAGAGACTGCCATCCGTGATGACTTTGCCAGCCGCAAAGCAAGGGCCTATAAGACAGCTGCCAGCCCCAGGCAGAAGTTTGTGCACTTTGGACCAGTAACAGAGATAGATCAGCAGAAATGGAAGCGTCTCAGCATTGGCAAGGCCGGGCCTAGGGAGGATGCAGAAGTCATCAGTCATGGCAGCAAGATTCAACCTTACTCTGTGTCCTCCGCCGCAGCGGCCACGTCTAGCTTAGAGGAAGACCGAACACTTAATCCACAAAATGACCTCAGGTATTTTTCACCATACATGTGCAAGGAGAGCTGCATGGGAGTCACTGCTGCTTTCAGAGTTTGCTGAAGGACGATAAAGAAACCTCCACAGATGACATAGTTTAAACAGGCTCTTTTGCTGGTTAGCAGAGAAGTAATGTTAGCAGGTCACCCTGGGGGGAGGCACATGTGTGAAGTTAAATGGCAGGCGTCCATTTTGATTCTGTTGTCACCAAAATCACTGGCTGGGAATGCCAATAATCCTGGCAAATGACCCTTTTTCCCTCAGCTGTGTTAAGCACTATTTTATTAGTTGGAAGTCCAGAATGAACGAGATGGGATGTTTAAATGATATTCCTAGTGTTTTTTCTAAAGATATATTGATAAAAATCAGGCTTATCTATAACCTCCCTCTTTCCTATCCCACAGAGAGAGGAAAAAATCATTAGTATCCTAAGTTCAAATTTTGGACATCTAAGTAGATACAAAAAAATAAAGGTCTCCTCCCCTCCCCTACTTTCTAAAATTATACAATAAATCTTGAGTGGAAAAACACTCTTCTCTTAAGGGTTCCTATGACTCAAGAGTTTCCTTGGATGAATCACCATCCAAATTTGTGAGGGATCACCTGGGAAAAGATTTTGTAGGCCTGTCACCAGTTCTTATCCTCACTGGAGGCCTTCCACCTTTGAATTCCCAAGGCCACTTTTGGAAATTCAGTGCTCTGGGCTGGTCTTTCTTCCATCAAGCAGGTCTAGGACATATATAAGACTCTAGATTCTCCTGGGAACGTCCATTCCACCTGTATGGTGGGAGCAAAGTAAAGCTCTCCATGGCAGAGAAAATGTTCAAGACATTCTCCTTCATATTCTGTCCTTGACATCCAAAGGAAGCGTGGATGGTCCCTGACATACAGAGAAGCTCCTTTGGTTCCATACTGTGATTGACACCATAGAGGAGAGCAGACTGTGGATATTAATAATCCTAGTACACCAGAAATACACAGGTTGGGTTTCGGAGGCTGATGGGGAATGGGATGGAGGGGGTGGGAGTAAGAAATTAGTAAGAAATGCATCCTTGAGTCCTTGACTACTGAGGGAGCCATCACTCAGCCCCATGGTGACAGAGTGATGCCAGCCTCCTTTGAGTTTTCTCAGGCCCCTGCCTGAGTTCAGATTCCATGATCTCAGTCTGAGTATGTCATCCTTACCAGTATCTTACTACCCAGTTCTCAGGTGAGTCACCAAACTCTTTTTCTTAATCTTTCTGTCTCAATGACTTTCATTGTCTCCTTTTATAACTCTATTCCTCTTCTCTCTTGCCACCAATGCTGCTTGATTATCAACAGAATAGTGACTTCTGGCATAGATGACTATTGCAAAAGGGTCTCACGGCTGGCTCCTGTGCTGGAGTCCCAGGAGGAACATGTCTGCAGTTTGGGCGAGGGCCCACCAGAGGAAGGTGAGGAGGACATTTCCTCCCTCCCCAAGAGGTGAAGGATGACAAGTGGGGTAAAGCCTCTGGTGTGAATTCTTTCCTAGTAGTAAAGCTGTCCTCTCTGGCTTTAGTTACATGCAAACAGCTGCCACAGGACAGCAAAGAAGAGAATGAAGGAGTTGCTCAAAGAGATTCTGAGATGCTGCCAAAGGCTGAGAGATCTGAGGAGAGCAGCCAGCCACTGTGAGCACCTTGCCTGCATTCCAGGGTGTGCTGCCTCTGCTGTGTGTGGCTGTTGTGTTCCCAAAAAAACAGCTTAGAGCCACAGTATGCACTTGGTGGCTGATGTGGCATGGAGTTAAGTCATTTAAAGGAATGTACCCATCCTGGAGTCAGAGTTCCGCTTTCAGTGCTCCCCCTGGGTAGAGATTTTAGCCTTTGCGTGTGGTTGGGTGCTGGCCAAATTTCGTTCTCAGGAATCATGAAAATCAGAAAGAGAAATCCATTCCCCTGTAAGTACCAGCTGCATGATGGAGGTCCACGGTATTAATACCCAGTTGCTGTGTGTGCTGCTGCCTCCATGGGCATTGGCTTCTTCTGTCTTGAGTTAATGCCAGTGAGTGACGCTGCTGAAAATATCTTTAGCAATAAGTGGGCTTTGACTGGCTGGACTGAATGTTGCTCTAGTTCGTGTCCTCTGGCCTCTGAATGCGAGGCTTCGGAGAAAGAAGAGAGCTCAGAGAAGGTGACAGCTCCTGCCTGGAGTGGCAGTGGACTAAGAGGCCAAAGAAAGTTGTATGATTCACAAAAAGATGACATGATGGCCAGGAGAACTGGCATGTCTTTTAGACACACTGGATCCAACCCAAACCAGTTCCTTCCGGTTCCATTTGCAAAGCGACAAGATGTGGAAGAATCTGCCAAAGTTCCACCAATGAAAGATAAGAGGTCAGAAGATTATCCTGTGCTCTTGTGACTTTGTTTCTCCAGTCTGAGCCTTGATACGTGCTTTGAATAAGTTAATGCACAATGGTACATCAATGCCACTTACCTGCTCTTGCTTGCAGAGTGATAAAAATTGGTCCAGTCTGCCTAGAATTTTTTTTTTCTTTTTTGCATGTAAGCAGATGCGAAAAGAATAGTTCTGTTGTGAATTTTCTGTTAAACATTCTTTCTGACTCTCATCTTGTGGGCAGCCTAAATGGGAAACTCATATTTCTTCTAAGCTCAGACAGGGAGCCTTCGGGTAAAGGGGTTGAACTTCTTTCTGACCTACTTGATTTGCACTTTGATTCAAGGAGAGTCTTCAGGTCCAAAGAAGATGTATATCCACTTATAAAATTTGTGCTTTCATTCAATTTCAACATTAGCAAATGCTCAGTGCTTTCTAGAAGTAGGATTTCTGTTCTGTGCTTTGACTTGATTTAAAATGAAGAATAGGGAAATAATAATCCTGGGTTTCATGGTCTGGTTTAAGGTTCCATATGCTGAAAGTTCTGTTACTATTTAGTAAGACTGATATATTTTTGCTAAAACTGTGGTCCACTTAATCAATGTAGGGCAAATGATTGAGGACTATTTTGCATAATTATAAGCTGCACTATAAAGCAGGAAGTGATGGACTTCCACTTCACAAAGGACCTTCATGGTGGTGAGACAGAGGGTAGAGTGGGGAGCAGGGAGAAATCTTAAGTAATCCCCAAATATTAAAATTAATATCCTAGCCATCTTTACTACCTAGATTTAATCTCTGTTTTACATTCTTCTGAATCATAATAATAATACTATAATAAAGCCTTCTTATCACACTGGTTTCAGCCATAGGGTGCTTCGTAGCCCTTTCACGGTGCGTCTGCTCCCTTGAGTTCACCTTCTCCTGGGAATTCATGGGTGGGTTGAATCAATATTAGCTCCATTTCGCAAATGGGAGCCTGATGTGGAGAGAAGTTAAGTGAGTGGATCACGCCTGGATCCCGGCTGGTGAAGGCTGGTGAGGGCTGGCTCGTGACAGAGGACTAACCCGTCTGCCTGGTCCACCACAGTCACTCACTCTCCAGATGCCCTGACGTGGTGTGTGGTCCTGGATCAGTGGGCTACTGTAAAGCAAGTTAGAATGAAAGGAAAGAAGGAAGGGAGTCCTACAGGCTGCCTACTAAGATACATTCTAGGTGCTTTTCCATTTACTTACTCCTCACACAAACTTTGAGAGTAAGAACTTTCATCTGTATTTTGCAGTTAGGAAGCTGAAGCCCATGTCCACACAGTTCATAATTACAGATCAAACCCAGCTCTGTCTGAGTGGAAAGCCACTGTCCCACTCCAGCGTGTTGCCTACGCAAGTAACCAGAGGAAACTGGAAGTCTGATGAATTCCCTGTCACTTCTATCTGTCCTCTATTTGTGATTCAGAAAGAGTTCTCTTTATATTCAAATGGGAACGAATGGCTAGTTTGAGCATAAAGAGATATAGTCAGATTACCTATGTGACACAGTTGCGTGACTGAGCAAGCACACGCCTTGGGAATTTGTGTTTCCTTTCAACAAGTATTTACTGAGTAATTACTATGTATAAAACACTGTGCTAGGTGCTATCCAATAATCTTAAATGAGCAGTAAACCCATTTTTCCCTCTCATTTCAAAGGAAGCTTATGCTGTTGCACAATGTGGAAGTATGTAACCAGCTAATTATTGATCCTGAAGTGCTGTGTTTAGTGCTGAAAGTTATATAAATGTGATCAGTAGGTGAATAGAATATTCCCTATATCTTTCTAAATATCCCTGCCCTCACAATTCAACTTTATTAATTGCTTTTTTTGGGGTAGTATGCTTATACCAACTATGATTTGTCTGGCCAATTTTGTACCTCATAGCCCATTGACTCAATTACTTTGCATTAAAAAATCTTTTTATTAGTGAGTTTTTAGCTTATTACTTTTCATTTTCCCATTTCCCATAGGAAAACCATTTGAAGCCCAAGCTCTAATTATCTTCTCCATAACAGCAAAGGCAGTTCTGCTTAAATTGGTGCCCTCTTAAAGCTAATAAATTAATCTGAGAGGAAATTCCTTAAATCCATAAGTGTATAGTAAAGGGATAAAGGAAGGCTGTCGTCAGAGACTGTGCTATTCTTTTCTTTTCAATTTCCAGAGCATCCAGTAAGTATTCAGTAAATACTTATTGAGGACCTAGTCTGGTCACTATTCAGGGAACCCAAAAAGAAAAACCCTGTCCTCTTGGAGCTTACGTTTTAGTGTAAATTTACATTTGTTGGCAGAGTTGTCCATGAAATACTTTTAAGTATTTTGTGTAGAAGCCATTTAAATTCAAATATATCCTACATGCAACAAGATAGCTGAACCTCATAAACAAACTGTGCTAAAGAAGCCCAGCTCAAAAGAGTATACCTGCTGTATGGGTCCATTTATATGGTGCAAAACCCTCAACACTAATCTGTGAGTGTGTTCGGTTTGTGAAGTTCATCGAGGTGTATGGGGATGGTACGTGCCTTTTCTGTATATATGTTATAATTCCATAAAACATTAAGAAAAATGTTTAAATAGAGACACAAAAATATGTGCCGACTGTTAATAGTTATGTCTAGATTAACCATCAATTAGGGGTAACTTCTCCATAGATAATTTAGAAAACACTCTATTTAAGTTTATTCCAATAGGCCCATTGATTAACTGGGAAACATTGATCCAGTCTTCAGAATTAACACTGCTTATGCACACTTTCTTGATGTGGAGGAATCCACTGGTTATCTGCTTCAATGTTGTGGTGTCTTTGGAAAATTGAGTGTATTACATTAAACATTAGCACCTCCTGAAACTATACCCAGAGACACAGGAAACAAGTCTTACTGCCAGAAAAGAAATGTCCACAAACACTTTTCCCTTGTCTTGCTTTTGGCCATTTCATCAGAGATTTTGGGTTTTGCGCTGGTGCAGTTGCCTTCACTGTGAATGGGAATAATTATTAATGAATGCAGACTGTTCTAGAATGATAAAAGCATAAATGAGGAGGGTGTATGCTTATGTACATCCATGCATTTTGGGGGTGTTTTCCCTAAGATTGTAGGGAGAGATCTTTAGAAATTATTCTTTTCCCTATAAACTGTTATGAAACTGAACATGAGACCAGGTAATTTTTGCTGAAAACTCCATGCTTTAATTTATCGGAAACTGAAAACAGGACATTTTTTCTCTACTCAATTTTTTGTCCACCATCAGAGTGCAGAAATGAACAGCATTTCAGGACATAGGTAAAAATCTTCTCTTCAAATTCCCCTTTGCTGGGGAAACAGTCATTTGTGGGAGCTGCTTTTTAAAAATGTGCTTAAAGTATATCCTTGTGATCTTCTAATTTTTTTTTCTAATTTGGCCTTTTTCTTTGCTTTATCAAACACATTAAACCTTAAAGTGCCTATATCACAAAGAGTACAACTTTGTAGACCTAAATAATCAGAAGGATATAAAAGACTGTAAAAGTCTTCGGTTTTTCAAGTTATGGAATATCACCCAAGTCTGGTTTTGATTAAGGTTGCCAGTTTTCTAGGAATTGTGGTTTTTGTCAAATGCATGTGGAAGGCACTGATTGGGGTTCTGGTTGGAGTTCTGGTTTGCTTTCAGAAAACTGCAGAAACGCTCTTTGATGTCATTTGTGCAAATGCATTAACACATCAGAGAAAGGGTCAGTAGGCGTGTGCTTCTACGCTGGTGTCCATTACAGCCCATTACTGCTGAACATCAAGGCATGAACGGTTTAACTGTTTGCAAAGGACCATAATACAGGTTTGGGGTTTTTTTCGCCTGCCTTCTCTAAACATTGTGGGTTGCACCTAAGTCTTTTTGTGTTTATATTGAACAGATTTCTTTCTTTGTGGGTAGCATGGGGATTGTTTTTATTTCTCCTCTGGGTTTTAATACAAATTTTGCATTCTTTAGAAATGTCAAGACTTTTCTTTCATTTTCAGCAGTTAATGAATATTGCTAATTGTCTAATGACACTTCTCTTCCAGTATGATTGGCAAAAAAGGTTTGGCACACATACATTTCACCATTAGTTTTTATTTCCAGCTTGGTGACAGCGTTAACCTTCTCTGTCCTGCCAATTTTCTAATTTTGTATTTGGTCTTGTAGATACGGTCTGAGAACTCCTGTGTCTGATGACGCAGAGTAAGTTGTCTTGTATTCGTAGGAATACATTAACTGCTAGCCTAAACTGCATGCTTCTAGTACTTACCCACTAATTGAAATGCAATTGATGCAACTGGGAACTAAATAGCTAACTGGCTCGTGCGGCCTCAGAAAAGCACTTGAAGTTGGAACACGGAACATATGTTCTGTGCAGGAGAGATGAATGAGAAGGCAACTTGAGCATGATTCTAATATGCAGCTGCTGCTTAAGACTTAACATTTGCTTTTCATAGACGGGGCATGTTAAAGTTGTTCTTGTTGCGTTGGTACCCCTCCCGAACCATAGAATTATTAAAAGGGTATTCTGCGTTTTGCATTGAATATGTGATATGTTGGGGCTTTTGGACTTAATGACGAAGCAGCCACTCTCATAGCCACATTCTTCTAGACTAAGAAAATAAATCCTAAACCACTAATTATACATTCAGAAGCCCAAGTTCCTCCCAGGTTGGAGTAATATAAACTATGTGATGCTTGAGACCAAAACGTTGGGGTTTCATTCTAGTTCCATGGCGTATATAGCAAGGGGTCAAGATGTGAAACATGATTTGGGCTTCCACTCCCTGCTACTCGGTTTCCACTCCTCTCAGAGATTCATTTTCCATCCCCTGCCTCACATCCAAATTTGAGAAGAATCCATACTCTTCTATTTGTGACCACATTAACTCCATTTCAAAAGTGGATTTCCTGGGGCCAGCCCTGTGGTGTGGTGGTGAAGTTCGTACGCTCTGCTTCAGCAGACTGGGGTTTGCAGGTTTGGATCCTGGGTGCGGACCTATACACTGCTCATCAAGCCATGCTGTGGCAGCATCCCACATACAAAATAGAGGAAGATTGGCACAGATGTTAGCTCAGGGCCAATTTCCTCAAGCAAAAAGAGGAAGATTGGGAACAGATGTTAGCTCAGGGCCAATCTTCCTCACCAAAAAAAAAAGGGGGGGGGCGGAATTTCCATACACAGAGCATTCTGAAACTGATATCCAAGGCAAAAGTTTTCTTTGCAGAATGCTGGCTTTCTCAGATTTGAGTAATTTGGCTTCTTTTACACTTTTTTTAATTGCAGTCACATTGGTTTATAACATTATATAAAATTTCAGGTGTACGTCATTATATTTTGACTTCTCTATAGACTGTATAGTGTTCACCACCTAAAGTCTAGTTGCCATCCATCACTATCCACATGCGCCCCTTTACCCCTTTCATCCTCCCCCCACAAGTAATTTGTCTTTTTAAAAATGTGGTTGATGTTTTAATTCCAGCATCAGTAGCCTGCTAAGCCTGATGTCTCTCCTCTGCAAGAGGCATTTTGTGGCCTCATGGGAGTCTGGGCCCTCAGAAGAGTGAGCACCAGCATTCCTTCTCCTCACCTTCCTGTTCTGAGCCATAGTGTCCAGTCACGTTACAAGGAGTCTAAACGATGGTGTAGAATACACAGATATCATTTACACCAATGACAATGAGATTAAGCCAAAAATTGACTGTTTTTGAATTGGACCTTTTCCACATTTGCATTCAAGCTGTGAGCTCAGTTTGTACTCCCAGCTCTAAGCAGCCTTACTCTAGCTCCAAGGGTGTCAGCTTCCAATGTGTGATCTATGATTGCATTGTGGTCTGACATACAGAACATTCACGTCTCAAAACCAAATTGGCTGCACGGAGTTAAGTATTCTATAAAATTGAGCCCTGGTTATTACTTTTAAAATCTGCAGTGGCAATATTTAACGTTCACTGAAAGGAGGATTATGTAAGATTGATAGGCAAAACAGTACGTTGATTTGGTTAGCAAAAACATTTTGATAGAACGGATTTATTCTTCATCAATGCAAAGCCATGTGCAATTTGCCTAAGATAGATCTCTGGGAACCCCTGAAAGGTGAAAGAAAAGAGCTATATTAAAGAGCTTTCAAATTTTGCCTGTCCCTGAATATGAACGCTCACCCAGAGGAAAAGTTAATGATTTTTTTAAAGGGGTGGGAGCACAGACTCCCTTGTCTCTCTCCAGATTTACCAAAAGCAGCCTCGTGGACTAAGAAGAGTAAAAGGAGCTTCTTTTCCAGAGGTCTTATCTAGGAGTATGCAGAGTGCCAGATTTCTTCTTGGAGTAGACACAATTTACGTGAAACCACATCAGGAACAAAATGAAAAGTTTTTATTGCGAGTTTATTTTTTAAATAGAAATTTATAAAATGTTTAGTTTACTCCTCAACTTATCTCCCTTTTTCAAAATCTTTAAGGGCAATTATTGGCCCAGGCTCTATTTATTTGTAATTGACACATTCTTAAAATACAACCCAATCAAAAAGAGATGTGCCCTTTAAGGAAAATGCAGGTCAGGGGCAGACCTACCACAGAGGCAAACAGAAATTTCCGCCTGCTGTCAAGCCAAGAATGTTTCCATAGATTTAGTTTCACCTTCATAGCCTTTTCTTCAGTTCCTCACTCCTCTCCCAACACTTTCCCCACCAAAAGAGCCTGTACACTGAGAGAACCATAGGCCATTTTATTCTTCCTTCCCTTACCTTAGACTTGACCCGGGAACAACTTCCAGGCTCCTCTTGAGGTAATTTAACCTTGGCCCTCAAAAATGCCAACTCACCATGAAGAGAGACTCCTGGACTCTGCAGCCACGGACCCTTGACCCATGGGCTTATTTGAGAAGCATAAATTTAGTGCAAGTCACAATAATATTCTGGAATCTGCGCTTCTCCAGGCTCCCCCACCCCCTTCCTAGACACACATTTCTTCATTTTAGAGGCTGAGTCCAACCTCTGAATTAGGGAACATTTTCTGAATTGGTGACTCAGCCCATTTTCTGTCTAGTATTATCAATTCTCAACTTGCTTAGTTCCTTTATTTGAAATGGCATAAAGATATTGCTCATAGTTTCGTTATTTCTATTTTGGCCAGTTTGCTGGTATTTCTTTAAAAAAAAAAAAAACTCCAGGAAAAAATAGTACTTCCTGGTATGTGAGAGGGCAAACAAGAGTTTCTCTTTTTATTTTGCCAACCAGCTTTTGGCCACTTTTGGGCTGAGGTAGTTAGAACTTCCTGGCGGACACAGAGATAGGAACGCAGGACGGAAGAGGCAGTTCTGAAGACCTTGCCCCTGTCCTCTTCATGCCTATTGAGTGAGATAACCAATTCCCAAATCCTGGAGAAGGCTGCCATTTTCTTCCTGGGGTCCCAGAAGAAGTCCTAGCTATATGGCCACCCATTGGTGGCTTAAACCAAAATCCTGCCTTTTAGAAATTATAGATGGCAAAGTCAAAGGAAAGGACCTTTTTTCTCTCCAACAATCTGCCAACTACTTAGTAGATTACAAGAGAGCCGCAGCTCGGAGAGCTTTATGTCTGCTAAGATCTTCACAAAGACTGTAAATTGCCTTAAAAGAGGAACTGACTGATTGAATATATTTAAAGGTAAGATTCTTTTTTTGAAACTCTGAGAGGAGGAATGAGATGAATTTCCATCTCTTTCAGGAAAGCCTACCTAAGTGAATTTTGATCCGTGAAGTTTAGACTTTTCTACCTAACTCTGCAAATTCCTAGATCTTTCTTAAACCACATTATTAAATAGTATAAAATAAGTGAAAAAATTGTGGTCCTTCCTCCCTTTTGAGCACTACAGTTTATCTTTTTGGAAGGCACGGCTGCTACCATCAACGCTATGCACTGAGTATGTTGAGGCAGCTCCATACAATGGTGTGTCATATCCATGCTAACAGAAGCCTCAGATAAAAGTCCTTCCATATAGTCAGCTTATTAGAGTACTTGAGGAAGGCAGATTTCAATTACAGTCTTCAGTTTTAGTCTCTTAGCTCAGACTTAAATTGTCCAACATCTAGAGAGAGGGAAGAGGCGCCCACACATCCGTGCAAATTCATTTTGATTGGATTGAAATGAAGGTGGGTAGCCATTGCTTTGGGCCTGTCTTCCCCTTCCAGAGAGCTGCCTGCTAAGGAACCCACTGGCACCCAACGATGCTACCGCTGTTCATTGTCTGGCCATGGGGATAACTATTTTGGACATCACTGAGGATGTCTGGAATTAGTTGGTGTCTAAGTGCATGGCTTTTCTTTTTCTTTGTGTTAAGCTGGCTTCAAAAATGGACTATCACAGTCTTCTGCTCTTAGAGGTTAGCAGTGAACTTTAAAGAGCCCTCCATTTCTTGATTTTTGGACTATAGCACCCACTTGATCCCAGAGCTCATCATTTCTTTGAGAGAAAAAAAGGGAGGATTTTGCTTTGGTTTTTATTTATGTTTTCATCTTGCCACTTCAGCTTTTACTGTAACAAAGGTCTCTGTAAACATCATAGAAAAGGCCCTATGGTCTTGCCCAATATTTAATAAGTTCCTATAGAATATATCAATTATATGTACAGTCTAAGGGTTTAAAAATTGTTTTCCCTATCCTTTTTCTTTTAAAAGAGTAAATTCAGAGGTATCCTGACAAAAATAAAGTAAAATGATTGTAAGAATATTAGGATACAAAGTATATACTGATATATATATATATATATATATATATATATATATATATATATATATATAATTCCTTACTCTTACTATAAAATACCTTTTGTTGATTCCAAGATACTATCAATGCGCTATCAATTCACAGTTAGTTTTACGGGAAGTAGAAATAACCACATCAAATATATGCATCCCTAATACATAGCTGTTGGCTACATCCAAAATTCAGAAAATACACTGTGAAAAGGTGGGTGTCTTAAACTTCAGGCTGTATGATATTTTTTCGAAAATGGAGGAATTGCCTCAGTTAATGTAGAAAGCATTTAAGCCAGTCCTTTCCACAAAGGAGCATTTACTGTAATAAAATTTCACTTCACGGAGCACCTCCCTCCCTCCCCACAAATCCACCCCAAGTTATGCCTTTTCATTTTCCTATTTTCTAATACATTTACAAATGAAAGGAGCCCAGAGCTTCAAATACCTTTTTCTAGCTCTTCTTTAAACATATTCTGGCACCTACCTATAAAATTATATTGACCTGATGCAGTACCACTGAAGACAAAGATGGTCGCATTTTGGCTTTTGCGGGAAAAGAAGAGGTGGGGGTGCTAGCATGCCCGCCGCGCCTGAGGGATGGGGCAGACTGGGAATCATGCTGCTGTCTGAAGCTGCTGAGAAGGGCCGTTTTCCAAACGCAGTAGCGCCCCCACGCGGCAGAACGCCCCAGAAGACGCAGAGGCAAGACAGGTGCTGATCCCGGGCCATTTATGTCTCTGCTCTTTCCACACTCAGGAGCACGAGTATGTTTGACATGCGGTGTGAGGAGGAGGCCGCGGTGCAGCCGCACAGCAGGGCCCGCCAGGAGCAGCTGCAGCTGATAAATAACCAGCTGCGGGAAGAGGACGACAAATGGCAAGATGTGAGTGCTGGGCAAGGCTGCGGGCAGCGGGGAGGCTGCCCAGCACAATGGGTTAGAGGCCGTTTGGAGCAGAAAATCAGGTGGGGTGGGTAGACTTGGAGGAGAAATCTATGCAGGTGAAGGGAGCCCTTAGAGGATTTCAAACAGTGACTCAGTAAATGTGGGAAATTAAAGGAGGTTTAATAGCAACATGAAGGGTGAGGAGTGAATGATGCAGACATGTAATTGGCAAGTACCCTTGCTAGAAGGCTGGCCACAAAGGAGAGGGGAGTGGGAGAGAGACAGCTGGCATGGGTTGTAGAATTGAAGATGCACTGTCTTTTGAGATTATATGTTTGAAATTGATAATGATGATGACAATGATAATTGCCAACATTGAAAGTGTACCAATCCCAGAAACTATTCTAAGTGCTTTGCATGGAATTCATTTAATACTCTTAGTAACTCAGTGAACTAGCAACTGTTATCATCCTCAGTTCCAACGATGAGTCCCAGAACAGCTAAGTAACTTAGCCGAAGCCACACAACCAGTGAGTGAGAGAGCCAGGATTAGAACTAGGGAAGGAAAGCTCAGGGCCTGAGGAGGGCCTTAAGATTGTTCGTGTGCTGAAAGCAGAGAGCCAGGGCAGGAGAAGAGCTTGAAGATGGGGAGGCGAGGGGGAGAGTGCATCATTGCATTAAATTCTCACAAGGCGCTCTGAGATAGCTGTCACAAACTTGACTCTCCCATTAGGCAAAAAAGTTAACTTCTCCAAGGTTGAGAAAATGTGGTAATAACTATGTCTACAACATATTGAGCACCTATGTGTGCCTGGCACCTTGTATGCACTATCCCATTCAATCCTCACAACAGGCTTGTAAGAGTCATTATTATCGTCCTTATTTTAGAGATGAGGAAACTGAGGTACAGAAAGGCTAAGAAACGTGCCTGAGATTCCAAAGTGTGGTAGAGATGGAGCTAGGATTATTTGCCGTAGCTGCCATCCTGCCCATCTGACCTGAATTGTAACTCTTTGTCTTTGTGCTGTAACTGCCTGTAGGATTTGTGGGGAGGCTGTTTTAAGGATCAAATGAATTCATCCATATGGAATCGTCGGTTCTGTATGACCCCAAAGCCAATTTTTTTCTGCCTTTGCTTCCTTCTCTGAGGAAATCGTGTAGGTCTGTGGTTAATTCCTACCATTCTGTTGTCAGCAGGTTCCTTCACAATGCAGAGGTCATAAATAGCGAGACATGAAGTTTCTTACAATACCCTGTGAGGCAATACTTTAAAATTTGTAACCTGGAATATGATTGCAAATTTCACATTGCCATGTTTAAGTAAATGTGCTGCCCTTCTGTGGGTAATGTAGATATATCTGAAGGTTTCCCGCCTTGTGAGGCATTCCTGTTCCAGCCAGGCGTGCATCAGATTGTGTGGGAATGCCCTCGCCTATGCCTGGCTTCTAGGCAGTGCTAACTAAACTCTGAGGAGTAGACATAGAGTTACGTGCAAACCTGAATAAGCATGTTCTAGCTCCCTTTCCCACCCCTACAGGACCTGGCTCGTTGGAAGAGCCGTAGAAGAAGTGCTTCTCAGGACTTAATCAAGAAAGAGGAAGAAAGGAAAAAAATGGAGAAATTACTGGCTGGCGAGGATGGGACAAGGGAACGAAGGAAAAGCATCAAAACCTACAGAGAAATTGTTCAAGAAAAGTGGGTTCTTTCTGTTGTTGTTTAACGTATGATATTATCTAGATGTGCTTTTTCTAACAGTTGTTGGCTATTTCAAAGGCTCTGACACCAATATTATACACTCCCCGTGCTGTCCCTTCAGCTCTATCTGGGTTCCTACGCAGGTCTTCTTTGCAGTTTTTGTGACTGTTGGCTTTGTTCTTGCTTCCCCCCATGCCCATCCTGTAGAGAGCGGAGAGAGAGGGAGTTGCATGAGGCGTATAAGAACGCACGGTCCCAGGAGGAGGCTGAGGGGATCCTTCAGCAGTACATCGAGAGGTTCACCATCAGTGAGGCTGTTCTTGAACGCTTGGAGATGCCAAAAATTCTGGAAAGAAGCCATTCAACAGAGCCAAACTTATCCTCCTTCGTGGACGACCCCAACCCCATGAAATACCTGCGGCAACAGTCACTGCCTCCACCTAAATTCACTGCCACTGTGGAAACCACCATCACTCGTCCCAGCGTTCTGGATACCAGCATGTCAGCAGGCAGTGGGTCTCCAAGCAAAACTGTAACTCCCAAAGCAGTGCCTATGCTGACGCCCAAGCCTTACTCCCAGCCCAAAAACTCTCAAGAGGTTCTGAAGACCTTTAAGGTACGCCGAGTTCCTTAAGAGTAGAACCAAAATTGAACTCCAGGTAGTCAATGGAAAGAAGCAGCTTGACTCAAGAAAATGCAATTATTTCTGTCAAATGAAAGCAAAATGTGTTAACATTTACAATTGAGAAGTTTGTGTGTCTCAGGACACTTGGTTTGCAAATGGTTAAAGGGTCACGTTCCCCTCAATTCCTGTTGTTAATTCTGATGGACTCCAATGAGATTGATAGTCGAGTCACCTCCATGAGCAAAGTCTATTTTCTAGTTTGACATGATGGCATGGTCTCTCTATAGTAGTGGTAACAAACTCTAATTTAGTAATACCCTATGTATCTACAGCTATCTGGAGGTATTGCCAACTCCTCAAAACAAAATTTTAATTGTCTTTGGTTTAAATAGAAGTATACACAGCTGTCTCTCTTTTAGGAAGAAAAGGACATTATATCCAAAAAGATGCTACAATTGATGAAAAAATAATGCAAGGAACACATGGAAACATGAGAGGGACTTGGTCCTCAGATGAAACAGATTTTTAAAATATTTTTAAGTGGAAAAAAACCAGATTTTTTTCTTTTTTACCAATGAATGTGTAAAATAATGTTCCAGAACCAAAGAACCTATAACAACCAAACATCTTTTCACTTTCTCAAATTCTAGTATTTTCCCTCATGTCGTGAGGAAGCTCTTTATCCCTTGTCTTAAGCTCTATTGACTTACAAAGAAAAATCAGTTCTCGTTGTCCCTGCACACCACATGGGTTCCTAATGGAAGACAGAGGTGGAATTCCTCACTGGGAGACAGGGACATGAGACTGAAAAGAAAGTTTGCTTAATTAAACTAACTGAGCAATGTGATGTATCTTCCTGTTGAATTTCAGAGGGAACCAAACCACACTTTCTGACTTTTGCTTAAATAACTCTGAATATAGCTTAAAAATCTGTGCCTTAGGCTTTGGTAGAACAAAAGGAAAATGTCCTGGCTGTCTCATCTGGGTTCAATTTGAGATGTTTGCCCTTGAAAGGCGGGGGCTGTGTCTTAGTTGTTCACAGCTTCCTCCTGAGAGCCTGACATGGGTGCCCAGGACATGGTAAGCACTCAGCAAGTGTTTACTGAATAAATACATGAATTTTCCCTGAGAAGATGAGCTACTCATCATGCAGGCTCACCCACACACAGATACGCATGTGCCCAAGCAAGCTCAGAACCCACCTAAGTACCACGGCAGCCTTCCTTCACCTGGAGCCCACTGCAATGAACTGTCTGTGACAGTCCATCAAGGAAGGTTTGATGTTGAGGTGGCCCAGAGCGGGGGTAGGGAAATACATTTCTTTAGCTTGGTATCCAAGGCATCTGATCAGATAATCCAGATGTCCACTTCCCCTCCTTTATATAAATAGTGCCATGGGATCATTTAAACAGTAGAAGTAGGATAGAAAACTTCATAGCAAGACTTTGCCCCTGAGAAAACGAGTCCCTTGCCATTGTGGCAAGATGGTGTAGAGGCCTCAGGAAGAGCATTCATGGAGGGGTGGATTGAGGAACCTCAGTAGACGTCCTTTTAGAGCTGGGGCTCACTCCTGACCACAATGAGCCCTTGACTCATCACAGGCCTTGATGGCTGTCAGCCCTATTCACAGCTGCACCACTGAGTGGGTGGACCCACTTGTGCTCGAAGATAATATGTAAATGGGACAGTTGTTACCAGATAAATGCTAGGACAGAAGATAAGGGTGTGTGTGTGTGTGTGTGTGTGTGTGTTTTTGTGGGGAGGTGGGTAGGGCATGGAGGCAGGGCATAGACTCAGTTTCCCATTGCAGCAGAATTAAGAGTAAAAAAAGATCAAGTGAAATAGTTTAAGGAGGTGTTTTTCAAACTGAGAGTTGCCAACCGTTGCTAGCTTATAAAATCAATTTAGTGGTTTGGAATCAGCATTTTTTTAAAAAAAAAATGAAGTAGAATAGACTATAGTAACAAAAAACAGACTGGTGCATCACAGATAATAAAGCAAGATATTATTTTGTGAAACTCCTGTTTCAGTTATATTTATTTGTGTGCTCAGTTGTGATTTGTTTCTTTCTTATGGATCACAGACAACAGAGCAAGCCGCTGGCTTAAGGCAAATAAACTATAACTAATATCTGGCCTTCCATTATTCCTTTTGGAAGATTTTAGAAGGCCTAGAAACAGTAACAGCTAATATTTTTGTACTTAAAATGTACCAGGTACTGTTCTAAACTGTACATCTATTAATCCATAAAGTGGCTGTAATAGCACTCTCAGGGAGAGACCATTGTTATAAATTTTGCAGATGAGGAAACAGGTTGAAGATTACGTGGCTATTAAGTGGTAGAGCCAGGACTCAGTCTTAGGCCGTCCAACTGCTGGGCTTCCTCTCATAAGCATTCTCCACTTTGCCTCGAACTTCAAGACAGAGGTGCTAGATGCCTTTCAATAAGCCAGACCGCCCACTCTCTCTGCTTCTCCTTTCTTGCTTCACTGGTTTCCCTAGATATGGGTGCAAAACAAAAAATATTTTAATGTGCATTGGACTTTTTTGTTGAAAACACTTGGATTGTAAAGTTAACTAGAAAGAGGGATTTACTATAACATAGCATGGCATCAGGTTTCCTGCCCTCCATGATAGCATCAAAAAAAGTACCCATTGCCGCCTACCACCACAGGATAACCTGTGAAATATTCCCCATCCGAGGGGGGTTCCACCTAATTTATATGTTAACCAGAAAAAAATCCTGAAGATTGTGGAATAGCAATCAGAACTTAAATGAAAAATTACTGGAACCCAAACATGTGGCATGTATTTATACGTAAGATTCCCTGATTGGCCAGACTTTAAAATAGAAGCACACCCTAAGTAAGACGAACATGAAATGTAATCTTAAGTGAAGTGGCTTTAGATGAGAAGGCCAACGACCTTTCAAAGAGGCCCTGAAAGGTGGCATTTATAGGAGCCCTAATTTCTAAAACCAATCGAAGTGTATGAGAGACCTTATTCTTTGTTGGACTCTGATTATTAAATGCTAATGTTTTAAGGTGATTCTGAATGTGTTATTTTCTTATAGTCTTTCATTGGGGAATAGCATGTGTTTTGTTCTTTCTGGTTTTTATAGGTAGATGGGAAATTCAACATGAATGGAGAAATGGTTCATGGCGATGAGGAGGAGAAGGAAAGAGAGTGTCCCACAGTGGAGCTGGCCCCCTCGTTAACCAAATCCCAGATGTTTGAAGGTGTGGCCAAAGTGCATGGGTCCCCCGTGGAGCTGAAACAAGACAGCAATAGCATCGAGATCAACATAAAGAAGCCAAATTCTGTTCCCCAAGAACTGATGGTAAGAACCAAACTTTTTTTCCTCTTTGGGATAATTCCATTGTGAAAGAATCTGTTTTAAAACGTAAGTAGGTCTTGGTGGCAATCGTTTCTTTTTATGTGGGTGTGTCAGCTTGCAAGGGCTGCCACAACAAAGTACCACAAACTGAGTGGCTTAAACAGAAATTAATTGTCCTGCAGCCCTGCTGTCTAGAAGTCCAAAATCAAGGTGTGTGCAGGGTTGGTTCCTTCTGTTGGCTCTGAGCCTTCCATGCCTCTCTGCCAACTTCCGGTGGTTGCTAGCAATCTTTGGGGTTCCTTAGCTTGTAGCTGAATCACCCTGATCTCTGCCTTCACTTCACCTGGTGCTGTCCCTGGGTGCTTGTCTGTATCAAAATCTCTCCTTTTTATAAGGACACCAGTCATACAGATTAGGGGTCCGCTCCACTCCAGTATGACCTCATCTTAACTCATTAGCTCTGCAACAATCCTATTTCCAAATAAGGTCACATTCTGAGTTACTGGGAGTTACCACTTCAACATATGAATTTGGGGTAGAGGGACACAATTCAACCCTCACAGTGGGTGTAATAAAAGGAACAATATAAATTATAAATAAGAAAAACTTTTCTTGTCTTCACATTATTGATGTCTAGTGTTATAGAAAAATAAACCTCTAAAATAGCTTTTTTTCTGTTTGTTCAGGACTCATCAGACTTTTTGATACAATTTGAAAATAACTGATGCTCTTAGAACCTGACTTTCTGTCCTTGACCATATGTAGGAAAGGGTATCTTTCTTACTAGTTAAAAAAACCAAAAACGTTTAGAATCAAACTGATTTTTAATTAGCTTAGCCCTCCCTCTTAAATTCAGAGTAATTGGAAACACTATTGAATGGCCAAGCTGAAAAATGTAGGGTAATTTAAGAACAGCAAAAAAAGGAACACTCAAAATAATAACATTATATTTGCCACCTTGGAGCATAAAACGTCATCAGGATCCAGATGACGCTTTCTTAGGTCTCACACCAGAAAGCCTCATGCTGGTTTTGCTGATCAAACCCAAACTTTCACTATCACAGGTGCAGCCCAGTTTTTGAGTTGCAAGCTGGACTCTGTTCAACCTCATTTGTCCTCACCAGAGGCTGATTTCTGCCATTTTAATTTATAGTGTTTGGGTTGGAATTTTAAAGGATGGAGAGAACTGTCAAGATTTTACCCTGAATCCCTAGAGAGGTTTGAAAGACTTGTCTCCCAGCTCCAGGGCTGTTAGATGACGCAGCTAGCGAAACCCACCCAGTGGGCTAGATATTCTTGTTCTTATCTCTGGGATTTGTCTTTTGAAGAATAAAATGTTTTCTCAGAGGAGCTGAGAAGACATAATTCTTCCCCACAGTGCTCAAGCCCTATGAAAGAGATTCAAATTGGAATAGACCAGAATAACTTCCTCGCCATGGTAACACGTTTCCTGGTCTCCAGGAGCAAAGATCCAGGCAAATGCTGTGTCTGTCAGCCTGGAATTTAACTTCACTTTTTATTTGTATAAATGTTACAGGCTCTGCAGAGTTCTTACAGATTCTCGTGAGGTGGAATGTTGAGGTCTGCGTGCGAACTTTACTGGTAGAGTCAATATTAACTTATGCTCTTAAATTTAAATTAGAAGTTACCCAAATTAATTAGACATTACAGTAGTGGAATTGCTTTTCTGGGACAGTTAGTAATTCTGTTCTTATTTCCCTTTTGCCACACTTAATGATGAACATTTTCTATAAGTTCCCTTCATAAATAACCTTTCCATTCCTCAGTTTGGTTACTCTGTCTATCAGGTCACAGGCCCTTTGCACATACTGTTGAGCACGGTTCTTTCTCACTGTACTGTGGAAAAACAACAGTGTGGGTGCCATGCTTGTCCCACGACACTGGCCACATAACAGAGGTGCACAGGGCTAACTCAGTCCCAGTGGATTCATTATAAGAACAAATCCTGAGGGCTCTGCTATCAGGCACACATCTGTTCTCTACCTCTCACCAGTTCTGCCCTCTGAACATCTTGTTGTTAGAATTTGTGGGAAATCCTGCCTTTGGCTGAATAGATTTTATTCCTGCAGAAGTTAAAGGAATAAATGAAGAGACCAGATGGTATAAGGCCTAAACCTCCTAAACCAACTATTTAATCGCTCGTATTCTAAGCTTTTAACCCTTTGGAGGAAAAAGCTTTACCCATCCTGCATGGAGACCTATTGTGTTAAGTACAGGACTCCTAAAACAGAAGAAAAGGGGTTTTTGCTTGTTTTTTAGAGCAGTAAAACCTCCCTTAAAAATATACTCATTCTTGGGGCTGGCCCAGTGGCACAGTGGTTAAGTTTGTGCACTCTGCTTTGGTGGCCCAGGGTTCACAGGTTTGGATCCCAGGTGCAGACCTATGCACCATTCATCAAGCCATGCTGTGGTGTCATCCCCTATACAAAATAGAGGAAGATTGGCACTGATGTTAGCTCAGGGCTAATCTTCCTCAGCAAAAAGAGGATGATTGGCAATGGATGTTAGCTCAGGGCCAATCTTCCTCACCAAAAAAAATATATATATGTGTATATTTTTCCAGGCCTTTTCCACCTAACAGTAGTTGTACTGCTAAACTCCCTAAAGGCAAAGAGAAGATAGATTGAAAGATTGCACATTGATTACATATCCCCAAAAGTATCTTGTTTTAAGAGAAGCAAAATTAGATGATCTGAAAGAAATCACATTATTTCAGAAGTTTATACAGTGTAACAAGGAAACCCCCAAACAAAAGGTGGCCTTGTGGACTTTCTTCTCAGAAACCAGCCTGATCCCGGGCATCCTCAAGACGCAGATCCAAACTCATGGAAAAGCCTGGGACCCTCTTCCTCTGTGTCTCTCTTCCTCGGAAACACTGCCTAGTTTGGAGTAATTTCTAGTTTAGTAAACCCTAGTGGTTCGAATAGATCATAGCCTTTATTTACCCTGTCTAGGACTTTAGGCTCTTGAATTAATTACGGCAGGGGCTATTACATGATTTTCTGGGTAGATAACTACCTGTGTGTGTCTCTTAGACCATAAGCCAAGTTGTTAGCTGTTCTGCACAAAATTTTGGCTCATTTACTAAAACACTCTTCATACTCGCTTACAACTTATGACACCAAAAGTTTTCCATTCAGAATGTTACCCCAAGAGTCATTTTAAAAGGATCTCTTCTCCAATAAACCTGCTCCTCGTTTTACTTCCTTCTCCACATTCCAAGAAAAGCATTTCTTGACTGTGTGCCAGCCAGTTTATTCCTATTGAAACGGTGGAATTAATTGGTCATGACAAAATACGGCGACCAGCTTAAAACGGGGCTGTGCTTCAGAGCCTTCCAGGGCCTGAGACCGGCCGCGACCTGATTTGCTGTTTCTAATTCATTTGCCCCATTCTGTGGGGTGGTCAAAGGAATAGTGTTCTTCTTGTTAAATAGTGTCTTTCTTCTAAAAACTGCATTCCCAACAGATACACTCTTTACAGAGGAGTAGCCTCACCCACCACTAAAATGTCACAGCTCCTGCAGGGCGAGCTGGAACTGTTAAAGGGCACAGCAGCGGTGGGCAGGAGCATTAACTTAGACTGTGAGGCAGGGCAGCATGGAAGGGTGGCCGCAAGACTCCAGGGGGAACGGGGCGAGGTTAGAGGGGCAGCCTCTTGGCCCGGCACAACCACTTTTGTGTGACATTATGTCGTCTCTTTAGTTTCCTTCTACCTCACCTTTCTCATTTGAAACTCTTGGGACTGTGGACTTTAGAAATAGATCCTAAATTAGATTAGACTTGGTTTTTTTTTTTTTTTTTATTGAGTTATTGATAGGTTACAATCTTGTGAAATTTCAGTTGTACATTAATGTTTGTCAGTCATGTTGTAGGTGCACCACTTCACCCTTTGTACCCACCCACCACCCCACCTTTCCCCTGGTATCCACTAAACTGTTCTTGGTCCATAGTTTTAAATTCCTCATATGAGTGGAGTCATACACAGATTATCTTTCTCTCGCTGGCTTATTTCACTTAACATAATTCTCTCAGGGTCCATCCATGTTATTGCAAATGGAATGATTTTGTTCTGTTTTGCAGCTGAGTAGTATTCCATTGTATATATGTACCACATCTTCTTTATCCATTCGTCTGTTGATGGGCACTTGGGTTGCTTCCACGTCTTGGCTATTGTAAACAGTGCTGCAATAAACATTGGGGTGCACAGGACTTTTGGGATTGCTGACTTCGGGCTCTTTGGATAAATACCCAGTAGTGGGATGGCTGGATCGTATGGTAGTTCTATTTTTAGTTTTTTGAGGAATCTCCATACTGTTTTCCATAGTGGCTGCACCAGTTTGCATTCCCAGCAGCAGTGTATGAGGGTTCCTTTTTCTCCACAACCTCTCCAACATTTGTTGCTATTAGTTTTAGATATTTTTGTCATTCTAACAGGTGTAAGGTGATATCTTAGCATAGTTTTGATTTGCATTTCCCTGATGATCAGCGATGATGAGCATCTTTTCATGTGCCTATTGGCCATCAGTATATCTTCTTTGGAGAAATGTCTGTTCATGTCTCCTGCCCATTTTTTGATTGGGTTGTTTGATGTTTTGTGGTTGAGTTGCGAGAGTTCTTTGTATATTAAGGATATTAAGCCTTTGTCAGATATATAACTTGCAAATATTTTTTCCCAGTTAGTGGGTTGTTTTTTTGTTTCAATCCTGTTTTCATTTGCCTTGAAGAAGCTCTTTAATCTGATGAGGTCCCATTTGTTTATTCTTTCTATTGTTTCCCTTCTCTGAGAAGGCATGGTGTCCGAAAAGATCCTTTTAATACTGATGTCAAAGAGTGTACTGCCTACGTTTTCTTCCAGAAGCCTTATGGTTTCAGGTCTCACCTTTAGGTCTTTGATCCATTTTGAGTTTATTTTGGTGAATGGTGAAAAAGAATGGTCAATTTTCATTCTTTTACATGTGGCTTTCCAGTTTTCCCAGCACC